GGTCAGTAGATGATGGCAGTGATCTGAACATTTATAACCTTTGCTTTGAGGGTCAACAAGCCCAACAAGTTGGTAACCCTTGCTTTGATGCATTCCACCTCTTTACTGTCGCTGTGAAATGTATTCAAATATTGCCAGAAAGGATACAACAAAGGAAAGAAAAGACCATGGTCCGGGTAAAAATATGCAATACCCAAGTACTTGATTTAAAATAAGTCCACACAGATATTTGGTTATAAACGGGAGACGAACAGTGGTCCCCTTGGTTAAATGTAGCCCCATGTTTGGCCCAACGACCCATCAACACATCCACCCCAACCTCTTGATTGTCATTAAAAAAATGTATTCAAAATGATTTCTACTAAAAATGGGAATTTGTTCTATAATAACGTACCGCCACAACGTAATGCGGTGTTAAGATGTCGTATCCATTTCACATCTTTCTTTGAGATCAGCTTGATAATGGATAACTTAACTGGCTGTGAAATGCATGAGGGATGTATTGCAGTTATCCTATCATCCTCATTCATGACTCCTCTCTGTAAGAAGACCTCTACCTTGTCAATGTATCTTTGGGTCTGCGCTGAAGAGACTGTGTAAGCTATGCCCCGCTTCGCATTCCTCTGCCATCCAATCTCTGTCCAGCCTGGACTTTCCCACAGAACCCTAAACCCTGTGAATGAGAGTAGGCCTTTGTTTCAGGCATTTTTCATCCTGATCCCAGCAACTTCCCCATGGTGGAATGCAACAGGAATGCCATAGCCAGCTACCTGGCATTAGAGAGTCTTTGTGCGGAAATAGGAGAGGCTGAAGGAGAGAGCAGGTCAAAGAGGTTTGACAATGGATAGCTCACTTCTCAAGGTGCCCAGCCCACATTACAGAGCGAGTGAACAGCACAATCCGGGTCAAGTCTCCTGAACATGGCAAGGTGCACCAAGGAGAAAATAATAAATGGCATTGTTTGTAACCGGGCCAGTTTCGCTATGAGATCTCCTCCTGTCAGTTTTTTTCTCCTGGTGTACAAATCATTAACTGGAGCGCTGATGTAGCAACTGATTGGCATGCATGCACAAGCACAGCTGAAATGTGTGTCGGCAGCAGTTAACAGGTTGTTATGAGCTTATCACTAGCTCAGAGCTGGAACGGTGAGGCAGCGGTTCGCCTCAAGGTGCAATTCCATTCATTCTTGGTTGGTGAGAGACCAGAGGAGGAGTATTTTTAATTTGTGGGATGCCATGCGAGATGAGGATTTATTATGATAATATCTGGTGAGGTTTCACATGTCACAACAAGAGTTATTTTAAGTGACATTCAATTGATGCTTCACATGCATAAGCAACAATGCAGCCTGGTCTTCTAAAATTAGGTTCCCATACATTGAAACTCAAGATTCAAGATTCAAAGGTTTTATTGTCATATGCACAAAGCTACAGTGTAGAAATGGCAATGCAATTCTTCTGACCTGAGCTCTTCCAACAATGCAACATATATAATAAAATACCAAAATACAAAATAAAAAGTCGTGCAAAAAGTCTATATACATGTAAACAGAATATGATATGTACAAGAACCGAATATGAAATAATGTAAATTAAGACAAAATGTAATACGGAAACTGCATTGTTGATTACGATAGAAACCTTTGTGCAGGATAATGTTGGTTTTTGACATGTCACAACGTTTCCAATCAAGGTAAGCGGAGGTACCATATGGAAGAGGTTGAGGTGTGAAAAGATTACCCAAACAAACTCAGGAGCCGAATTCTCCTCCCGTGGTATCCAGTGGAGGGGCTAACACTGTGGAGGTGCACAAACATGGTGGCGTACATGTCAGAGCAGGAGCTTTGTGTGACAGACTGTTACCTGGGCCCCGTCAGCAAAGCCATTTCCCCTGAAACCTGAGCAGCCCGGCTTCTGAGACGGCGGCTGATCTTCTCTGGATCCTGAGTCTGATGATAAGGAGCTGAGATAAGGTGCTAACTGAAGGGCAACGACAGGGCTATGGAGACAAGGGTGGGGCATCAGGTCATATATCCCTGCATGTCATGACCACAATTATCAGGGGGCCTCCGCTCACCTCCTGTGAGAACCAACATCTGTAACATGCCGTCTTGTATGGAAGTATACTTCATGATAAACCTGGAAACATTGACTGAATATGTATTATTAGCCACTAGTCTTTTGAGTTAACCAACATCAGAGACATTGGGTACAAACCAAACCGGACTACATTTCATCCATGATGTTTTATTTCTGTTCCCCTATAGCAGTTTGACTGTTCGACATCCCTTCTTCCTAGAAAACTCAGCAGATGTTATATTTATTGATCTTAGACTGCCAAGATCCTCTGGGAGGACAACTGAACATGTGAAGAGAGGAAAACTCTGTGTTGACCAGACTCCCCTTCTCCCGACAGAGAGGACATTTTATGAACTCACTGGGGTACGATAAGGCTTTGTTCCTCGATACGACCACTCATACTAAAAATTCCAGTGAAATCAGCACATTATAGCCACATACCAATGCCAAGGGAAGCCATTTTTAAATTAGAGGTGAGTGTCACAAATCAATGAGGACAAACATTCCATGGCTATAATTTGGAATTTTGTTAAAGGATTTTCTTTTGATGAAGAAATATGTGGATACATGTTCAAGGCCTATGCTCCTTTATCTGATTTACACGTTCTTGTCATGCAAAAGACATTTGCCTTCAGTTCTTGTTTTCTATTTACAAAAGCAGACTTCACCATGGTCACAGGCCTGGACTTTGAACACCGAAAGAGCAAAAGAGAATCATTTCCTACATTTGAAAGCTTATTATGTAACTAAAGGATCGCTGTGTGAGCTTGCCTCCCCTGAAGCATCCAGAACGTTGCTGTTGGAAAGATCATACCGGATTAAAGCAGACAAGAGGCGTTCAGAGAGGGTCTGGGTTTGGAAATATGGAGGGAACATTTTACAGTCAGCATTTCTGCAGTATGCAAATAAACCGGCAAAAACAGCCACCATTCACAAACTCCGTAGCTACTGAGAAGAAAAAGGGAACTGCGTGGAGACGTGCATGAATGACTTCCTTTTTGAGGCTTTAACAATAAAACCAGAAGATGACAACGGTAAACTATGAATTAAACAAACAGCCTTGACTCTTCCCTTATTGCCTAAATGCAGTAATCTGTTTAATCTTATCCTCATACTACCAGCGCAGAATCACAAGTTGAAAATAATTTGATAGTCGCTGTTGGTAAAAGTTTAAACAACTACAAACTCTTCACAGTTTGGAAGTTATAAATGCAGTTTGAATGATTGAAAGCCATTTTGTCACCATTAAGATATCAATGTGAAGCTGAAGGAGGGTGATTTAGACATTTGACCTAAAGAAACTTTAATTTTTTTGGGAAAGTGAGGATATTAGGTTTTTATATGTATTCCTGATACACCTTGAATATTAGGCAAGTTTATTTAAGTTTATATTACCATATTTAAATAATATAACACCATGTTGCTCTGTGAGGCTGTACTTAGACACTGTGGGGCTTCGAGCTCAACGCTAATGCTAACATACTCACAATCTTAGCTAACTGGCTAACATAATTAGGCCTAGATATAACAAAGTAGAGCTGAAGTTTAGGTATCAAAACAGTCCAAATTCACTTTGCCTTTGTATGACTAAACAGCATGAGGGCTTTTCGAGTGACATGAAATTAGATTATTGATGATTGTTATCAAATAAACAGTAATTCTTGCTGGCTACATAAAAAGTCAGACACAGGCATTTATCTGAGTCTGTGAAATCCTCCACCCACAAAAAAGAGTGGTTCTCAAATTCCATTTTCTCCTCGATGCATCACAGTGGTGTCCTCACCTAGTAACTGGTAAACACACATCAACAATGATGAAAAAGCATTAATGAACCTCAATATGTTCTCCAAAATAAAACAGTTTAAGTGTTGCCACACTGCAATGCCTGAGGAGAATTATTATGGCCTACGTTTCTATCTGCCTCCGTTTACTGATTTATCGAGTCAATCACTATCACTGCTGGCAAGATGTTTTGCCAAAGAAATACAACATAAGGTGTCCTTGGCTAACACCTGATCAAGATAAAGAGCGAAAGCTAAATTGCAGAGATTATGATCTGCTATAAAGTGTCTGAGTAACCGCATCCAGGGGCCAGAGCTCAACCTCAAACAATGAAGACAAAGGCCTCAGGCATGTGACACGTGCATGGAAAGAAACAAAGATGTCCAGACGTTAACTCAGACTTCATCCGTGTGGCCCTGGGCCGTGCTGCCTGTGTCATGCTGTCCTATTGTTAGCTTGATTTTGTGGTCAATGTCATGGTGGCGCCCGACAGGTGTTCGTCTAACACCTACGTGACACATGGTATATACGTTATGAATTATGAATTAAAACCCTACAAGAGAAGAATCACTTTTATTGTGTTGTTGTCGCTTTGTTTCTTCTAGAATTACTTTTCAAAATCAGTCTGGACAGTAGAGGTGCATAAACCAAATGTGCCTTTAGTACTAAGACCAAATCTAAAAGGGTGGTGTTTAATAACTAATCCACATTATATAGACAAATATTGTACTTTTTACTCCACTAGATGTGCATATTCAGATAGTTGACAGATTTATATAATCCAGTAGGCCTACATGTATTCTATAGTTGAAATCAAAAAAATGTTATTACATACACTTCGACCAGTATAACATCGCTATGCTGCTAACACATTAGCAATGACAATCCCACATAGGTGAACTCAGTTGAAAGTACACAAGTATTATCAGCAAAATGCACAAAAAGCAGACTCAACATGCACAATGTACATTCCTTATATTATCATAATGTGTTATCTACCTGACAATATGTCTGCCATATCTCTAAGCAGGAAATCTTTCATTGGATACATTTTCTGCAATCTAAACAACAGTAGGATCACCAAAAGAAATACATTGATTATATCAGCTTTTATGAAATGATCTGAGCCTGTCGTCTAGATAATAGAAATGCTTTTTTATTGTAAATACATCCACATCCAAATACTTCTCAATATGTGTCAACAAGTATTCCATTGTCAGCTTCCCATTTAAGCAAAGTCAGATAAAACAATCTCAATGTGACACTGACTCAATCAAGACACATAATATAAACCTCAAGCCCTGGTCTTTTAATGTGGGAGTAAGATGCCCCCTATATAGAAAGTGGCGCCACACAGCAGCGAGATGACTAAGCATGAGGCCTGCTGCCTGTGGCACTGTGCAGACATGTTCCATTCTGTCAAAGCTCCACAGCACATAGGCACCATTTCACACGGTCCCCCGACTCTTGGCGAAACGAGTGGGAACTTTAGAGGCTCTGCTGAAAGCCTATACCGAGCATTTTAGCACTGATGTAATTGCAGTTTTAACCCATTTTTTAACTGCAAGACACATTCAGAACAGGCATTATTAAATTGCATTAAAGTGCATTCATTTTGAGCCCAGGTAGTGATAGAAGTGCTGTAGTTGATGCATCAATAAGATAATTTAATTGAGACATCAAATCCGCTTTTGTGTAAGAAGTTATAGACCCTACAAGTAGTGAGAAAATGAAAGTTCAAAATGAGATTCTGAAGGAGATTTAATATTGTTGTTTTTGGCAGTCCAAACGAGAAAAAGAAATGACTTCACTGTGCTTAATGGGTGACTCATATATCATACAGCAGTGTCAGGAAAATGAACACTGACTCCAATAGCAGGTATTTCCCCCATAACAGTGAATATCTAAGCTAAGCATTTTTTCAAACCAACCCTCCCCATATCATAGAGTGTGTTTACAGTGTGTGTGGTCTCGGGATGGAAAACCCCATCAGTGTGTTGAGTCTTCAACTCCACCTGCTGGTGTTCAGCACAAATTACTGTCAGAATGTATTATCTCAGAATAAACCTGTTGAGATATTGATGACAAAGAACATATGATTACAGGTAACCCTTATCCAATCATAAGAAAACCATAAAAGCTTTTTTACCAACTTCTTTAAATACAAAGACTCCTTTGACGAAGTACAGTCTAAATTAGCAAGACAAATCATTACATATTAATCAATTCACCATTTACAATAACATCTAAAAAGTCCCATAAATTAAATAAAGAAAATGAGCATATGTATTCTATATATTTCCTATAGTATCCATTTTGATCCAGTATTGCACCATGAACCCAGATCAAATTCATCCACGTCAATCCACTCAGCCGGAGAGTTGTGGTTGTTGTACCGCTTCTTTTGAATCTCTTCTGTACATTAACATGTAGGCTGTGCCGCTGTAAAAATAACAGCATTAAACATTTGAGCACAGAAATGTAGAAATCAAAGTTATGCTCCTACGAGTTAGGGAAGTAAAGGGATAAAATGACCAAATTACAGTACACTTAAAGAGAATTAGAAGTAAAAATATAACTACAGTGTTGGACAAAAAGCTTTTGAAGACAATATGACAGACCAGACAGATTTCCTGTTTGTGGGTTCAAAAGTCTGAAAGCCCCCATCACAATGAACAAGACCACCTTTAGTGTTTGATTTTCACCGAGGAACAGACAATAAGGTTTTGTCTTAAGATCAAAAGCGATTTCCGCAAGTAGGAAGATAAAAGCTGCATGATGGAAGTGGGATTCAAGCAAGGCTTTAAATGTTATTTATAAAAATCCTTAACTCTGAAAACAACTGGAGGTTGGTTTAAGTAAGCTTAAATGGGGGTCACATGTTGTTTTGTTGCCATTTTCTAGACGAGGCTGAACACAGGGGACCGGGAGTTGTTATTAAAAAATGCATTAATCTAAGTATTAATAGCTCTTTTGATCAAGCTAAGAAATTAATTTCAGAGCACGATTACCCATTGTAGCAAAAAAATAAAGACATAAAGTCAGAGCCAGGGTAGCTGTTTAATGACATGCTATGCTTACTAGTTTCAGCCTCACGTTAAGCATATATACTGTATATAATAGTGGTATCACTCTATTGCCAAGGAAGCAATTCCCAAAATGTTAAATTATTCCGTGACTCCCTAACCCCTAATGCAATATCAAAGGTTATCAAAAGATCCAGACATGAAAAATGTATATTGAGGAGGTTACCTGCTGTGATTTCCCCCATAGGAACTCTGCACTTCTTCCCAGGAGGCCTATGTGTTTGAATACAAAACAAATGAATGCATACAACTGAATTATAGTAACAAAAAATGCCAAAATGTAATTTTCATTTTTCACATTATCATTTTGCTAAACATCTCAGGGCTTTGAAACAAGGGTATACAGGGGAGCATTTGTGTCTAATTTTTTTTTTTAACAAGGGGTCCTTCAACAAGTGCAAGCTGAAATAAGTTGCATTCAAGTGAGACAGATTTTGTCAGATTGAACGTACCTTATATACGTGGCTGTCATCTGCATAGTACCAGCGCTGGCTCCCCCTTTGGCGCACGTAGGCAGTATAGTGCCCAAACGATGCATATCCAGAGTGCACTACCACTGCATGCAGTGTGTACTTGCAGTCATTCTGGAAAAATGTGTACATTTATAAAAGACAAAAGATACAATGTGCAGACTGTATTACTATTATTATTGAAATACCTGGTTAAAGTCTGAGGAGAACGCTTCCTTAACAGTCTCAGAAAAGTCAATGGTTTCTGGAAAGGTAATCTTGCAGTCAAGTTTTCGGGTGTCACCATTGCTATTCCGAAACCTTTTCAGGTGAACGCTCAAGATACAAGGCAGGGAAAGTAGTTTAACACCCTGAGGAAGAAAAAACAAGTTTCACAGTTTTGTCTTGTAATTACTGGGAAGCATTTAAACCAAGTCTCACCTTTTTAGATGGAGTCTTCTTTTCACATTGTGCACAAAAGCAGCAATCTATGCCCCTTAGCTCCTGATGCTCAAAGAAGGAGGTCATGCAGCCTTCCTGAAAAGATTTGTTGAATAAATACTTGTAAGTCCAACTTCACAAAAGTTAACAGCAATTGATTGACAATGAAGCAGCATTAAGGAAAGTGTCAAGTGTGTCAAGTGTGCTTTCTTGATAAAAAGAAAATGCAAGGGCTTTTTTTCTAGGACACTTTATTAGCAGCTGCTCCTAAAGCCTCCCTAAAAGCTTTTACATAAAGACTGGGAACAACCAGGAAAAAAGTGTGTGATTGTTCCTGGACTAAGTAAAACCATCAAGTGTTGTTTGGATTAAACAACCGAAACATCGTTTTTTCTATTATTTCGCTTTAGAGGAAGTTTGAACTTTGTTTGCACAGAGCCAAGCTAGTTGTCTCCTTTAGGTTCCAGTCTTCATGCTAAGATAATCGATGTTCCCATCTAGCTGCAGGCAAAACAGCCTATAACTATATCTTCCAATATGTTGAAATATTCATCCAAGTCTAAAGAAAAGACAAAGTTCACCAGAGAGTCGTGATCTTCCTTGACATGCAGCGGCAGGCTGAGCAGGTAGGTGTTCAGGGTCTGGACGGAGGAACAATCTAAACACTGCACGCATGTCTCCACGGATATCTTGTACAGATTCTGGATTTCAAGAGCCTGGCAGAAAAAACAAATACAAACACAATATAATAAATGGCGCACTTACGGTTGGAAAGATAAGGAATATTCATAATTAAAGACCAACCAGACGTCTGTCGTCCATCTGGTGGTGCAGGAGGTTCAGGATGGAGAGGAACACCTCATCAGCATCATGCTGCGTACCAACTGCAAAACATGTTAAAAGTTACTAAATAAACACCAATCAATAATCATCTGATAAAGTAGCATCCTTACGTCGAATACGGTTTGAGTCCAGAGAGCGGAGAAAGTTACAATGAGGAGCAGGACGAGAGGTGTCGCTCTTCATGGCGGAGAGAACTCTCTTCAGCTGCAGGGGGACGTTACACCACGCCTCTCTCACAGCAGCTGTCTCCCACCTGGTGCAATTCATAAAAACTCATTAATCCTACTTTTGATTACCTGAGAGAAGCAGCCTTGGATCTTAATTGACACCTTGTTGATTGTTAAATCCACCATCGGCCAATACATCTGTGTGTGTGCCTGCATTTTTCTGTGTATGTCTGTCTGCAGTTTATCGTGCATACTACTGCGCCGATCAGCCTAATATTCATTGGGCACATTCATCACTGTATGCTCAAGGACCACCTGGTGATTTACAACTTTGAGAAACATATTTAGTTTTATAACGTTATAATGTTGACTCCTTACTCCTCTTAAGGAGCCAGTAGAGGCCGCAAGTGATCAACGACTGCTCCAGGCAATTGGTCAGATTAAAGACAAGCTTTACTTAGTCCATTAAAGGCCCTATTTGTGCCTTTGTTGTTGCTCAAAAACTGACATCCTCAAATCCATAGTAAAGTTCGGTCTAATTTTTTAAACAAAGCATCTGCGGATTAACTCCATATGTCAGGGGTGTCCAAACTACGGCCCAGGGGCCAAATGCGGCCCGCGGATCATTTTGAATCGGCCCTCAACAAATTAAAAAAGTATAATGGAATACGGCCCACAAATTAAACTTCTTGAATATATCTGTACATATATATTACACAGTAGTGTTCATGTGTTAAGCCCAATTTCTAATAAATTAAGTCAATTAAAGTTGAAAATATGTTTTAACAAATCTAAGTTAAGTCTAAGCCCAATAGCTTATTACATAACAATATTGAAATATACCCTTCCTCTTTCCTCTTATGATGATAAGCAATCTGAGGTTTCTGTTTTAAGGAATGAGCTGCTAAAATTTTTAATGAAACCCTATGGAGAGCTGTGATATAGGCTGTTTTTTTTCTTAAAGCATATTCAGTTATCAAGCATAATTTACCTGATTGATTTTGCTAACTTATAACTTAACTTATGAGGCAATAAACCTCACCTCGAGTGAGTGGCCCAGCCCTTCGAATGTCCTCATGTGGCCCTCGGTGAAAAGAGTTTGGCCACCCCTGCCATACAGTATGTTATGATCTTCTTAATTCAGGACCATACAACATTATTTTCTTACTTGTCGAGTATTTCTCCCAGTTCCCAGGTAGCGGAGAGGGTCTGCAGGAGTGTGTTCACACAGCAGGACAGCTGGTGGTTACTGAGGCCTCTCATTCCTGTGACAGACCATCGGGAACGTCAAAAGAATCCTGTTGCTGAAAAGTTTAACCAAACACATTTTCCAGGGCCCACCTAGGGGCCCATGCCAGCGAGCATTCACAGGTGTGAAAATAATATAAAAACATAAAGGTTATGCTTGATGCTCAAAGTAAATATATACCTCCAGCGCCCACCTCACTTACATATTGTATTAAAATAAACAAGTCAATCCTTTTATAGAAGACAGTGACATTTTTTGTTTATTGATTTAAGGCCCTATTTATAGAAGATTTTACAGGTTTATTTTTTTAAGTTGATTTTACAGATCCAAGGGCAGTTTGTTTGTTTCTGTCATTGCTGCACACATGAGGGATGTATTGGTTGTGAAGAGGAATAGAATACAGTAGACTATGATATTTTTTGAGAAAGTTGCTCATTATTTTGCCATTGTAACTTATTATTTCGAGAAAGAATGTAAGGATGACATGTTACATCACAATGCTTAGTTTTCCTTTTGTTGGTGGAAATGTATTGTATTATATTGAAAGGTGGTATGTTTTTTAATCTTCCACCTTAATGACATACTGTGGAGGAGCACATCAATTGCACCTATGCGAGTATATAATGCATTCAATTCAAAGGTTTTAATGTATATGCACATAAGCTCCTCCAACAATGCAACAATGCAATATAATAAAATATCAAATAAAAAAATTGTGCAAGAACTCTATATATACGTAAATAGAATATGATACAACATACAAGAACAGAATGTAAAATTAAATGTTGTACAGTAAGATGAAATGAAATACTGTCTATTACAGTAGACAACAGATGAGTGCTTATGGAGGCATGTTGCAGGGCTAATGTATTGTATTGTTTGGTAACATTTAACCCTCTATGGCAGTGTTTCCCAAACTTTTTCAGTCGGGCCCCCCTTGGGTAATTGGAAATATTTTCGGGACCCCCCAACCTGGTTCCCATCTATATTGGTAGGATTAATTGTATATTGTTGTAAAAACATTACATTTTCTCTACTAATGATAATAAGATACAAAGATCCAACTATAATTGTATATTTTATTATGGATTACACATGAACAAAAGTGCTTGTAATAGATACTGTGAATTAATTTGGCCTAATTAAAACTAGCAGCCCTTCTTCCCAGAGTAGTAGATTTTTAAATTCAAATTTCTTTAAGGAACATATATTAATGAGCTACTATTTCTACTGCAGGTTGCAAACGATCACATCACTCTACCATTCCTATTCCACACATAGCCTATCAATGACTTGTGCGTGCTTGCTTTCCCTTGCAGATCTTCTCAAACCGGGGCTGTTGTTTTGAGACTGCCACTCTCAGTTCCTTCTCAATGTTCAGCTTTGATCTGTATCTCGTTTTGATGGCAGCAAGAAAAGCCTATCTCACACAATAGGATGTTGCAAAAGGCAGCATTATGCCCACAGCTCTCTGACCAATGAGAATAATAATAATACATTTGATTTATATAGCACACTTTAAAAACAACGTCATCTCAAGGTGCTTCACAAAGCTAAAAAGAGAAAATAATAAAATCTTCCCACGCCCCCCCTGCAGTACCTCCACGACCCACCAGGGGTCGCGCCCCACAGTTTGAAAACCACTTTTTTCGACCTCACACACTGGCCCTCTAAATATTTGTATTTCTTTAAATATACACAATGTCACCTGACATGCTGGTGTCCAATAAAATGAGAGAATTATATGGGTGTGGCATTTTGTCTGGGGGTGGAGCAGTCCTTTCTGCAAGCAAAGCTGCAGGGGACTCAGGGCCACCACTTGGTAAAATACATTTCACTTTTTAACATATTAGAAATGTACACAACTTAAAATAAAAAATACATGCATGTGCATGAATAGGTAAAGAAGTATATTTGATTGTTTAAAGACTTATTATGTATTTATTAATTAGCTAAAACTATGTTTTTTTGTTCGTTGCCTCAGGACAACACTGTGCCACTTGACCACTTTTTTCCAGGCAATATCATGCAAGTGTGCAAATGTGCTCAGCTGTAAAATGATAAACTTAATCAATGTTTTTACCATCTACTGATATTTACAGGAAATGGACACCAACACATGTTATGGGCATCCGTCTGACAGTGAAGGTCAATATAGGGTTAGGCACACACACATAGACACACACACAGACACACACGCACATACACAACAGATATACACACACAGACACACACCCACACACACAGAGAGAGACACACACATACAAACACACGCCACACGCACAGAGAGAGAGACACACGCATACAAACACACGCCACACGCACAGACACACACACACACACATAGAAAACCTTTTGAATTCATATAGAGTAGTTTTTTCTATTTCTTCTGAATTGTAGAAATCCTTGATGTTTCAATACCATCGTAGCACATTGTTGCCCTGAGGCAACAAGCCAACCCCTGGTTGAGGGGTGGTCACATTTTATAATTGATATAATATCAGGGACCTAAGCTCCTAAAAGACATGGTGAAACTTTTTTTTTTCTCCCAAAATAAAAAGTCATGCCATAGAGGGTTAAATCATATGTACAAATATCATCAGCAGACAGCTTGGCTGTGTTCTACTTACCAAAGGAGCTGTCCCTCATAGAGATAACTGAAAAGAACCGGTAGATCCTATGAGACATCAGCACAGACTCAGTGTCGGATAACTACCGGAAGTTCTGGAGACAAAACCCACGTCTCCGGGGTGCAGAGACACGTTTACTTGAGAGAAAAGTTATAAAACCTTCCGTGTATCTTTCAGAATGATCTGTTCCTCTCCTCTCAAAGTAAACATCACCGTCTGACAACTTAAGGTTCAATTTCGTTTTTACACTTCTGGGTTCGTCATTTTGCTGGAATCGAAACTTAGTAGTTGCCACGCGCAGAGTAGCAGACCGATATTATCACAAAACACACGGAAAATTAACATAATTTCATTCATATTTATTATCGTTTTATTAGATTTCCTTTATCTAACATTCCGTTGCCAGTATTTCTTGTTTGATTTGTTTGTTTTTATTTTTAAAAGTTTGACATCCTAACTGTAAAAACACAGTTAATATAAAATCACCAGAATTGTACGTATTATAAACCGCAATGTAATCAATATAATTGCATAATTATCAAGATTAATAAAAAAAATAACTTTCTAAAAATAAACATAAGGTTGAATAATATGTAATTGCACTTTTTTATGCTAAGAGATAGTTAAAGAAAAAAAGGACAGCGGAAGATTTGACATTAAAGGTTCATGGATTTCTAATGTCACCCTTTGGTATTTCTTTGTAGCGCTTTGCAACATTATTTTAATATTATTAAAGATATTATTTTCCAAGCAAATATTGATAAATGGGACTGTTTGCAATACAATCAACATGTAGTACTTATCTTCTGCCACATTACCAACCCTGTCTCTATTAATAATCTATTGATCACATTTTGTGCTAATGTTCATATGTTATGCCCTTTATGACACTCTTTTGCCGCCCCATGAACATTTCCCTAGGTCTGCTCCTGCATACACACTCACAAACTGATGGTATACACATATACTTTAGTCAAACACATTGTGATTTTCACAGTCTTTTACAGTCTCTTTGTAAGAGCCTGATGGTACGGTGCAAACATGGCAGTCCACATCTGTCTGAGCAGCTGGAGCAGTTTGGAAATCCACATGAATGAAGATGGAAGAGCTGCAGGGAAAGAACAAGAAGACATACACTGATATAATTCAAATCTTACATTTTATACTGGTCAACAAAGAACATTTTATCTAACCTGGATCCATTCGGAGGAGAAGCATGTAGAGCAGAACAGCAGCAATAAATAATTTCCGGAAAGAGAATGAACCAGAGCCGGCCAACAACGCTTTTCGGTACAAAAACCTGAGCATGGCTTGAAGTTTACGGATTACAGATCCTGTAGAATTAGAAAATCTGAATGAATTACTTGTACTCATATTACTTCATTATAATTCAGGGCTTAACCTATATGCAAGACCTTGGGTTGAGTGAGTGGCAATCTCAGAGTCTGGTCTGATCCCAGGATCTGGAGGCGGTTCTTCATTCTGTCGCTCTTTTTCTTCTACAACATCCAGCGCCGTCTGCCTCTGCTCTTCTGAGAACGCACTGCTTCCAACCTGGCCCTGGATCAGCTGCAGAGCCTCGTCTCTGTCTCCCAGAGGCACGAGGACATGCAGCAGGTACAGCTCCGCCACCGTGCCAAAGCCTGTCACTGTGCTGTTGGGCAGGCAGTGTAACCAAACTCTGGCTGCGTCCTGCATCACGGCTGGCTCCCCCACCTTGGAGTAAAGAAGTATGCTGGGGACAAAATATCGTTATCAATAGGTATGTTAGAGCTGAAGACGATAGAATGATAGGTAATCAACAGAACAATCATCTTTAAAGAGCCTGTGACACGAGTTTCCCCCATCATCCAAACCCATCAATTTGAGTAAATATTGTCCCCTTGAAAACCGTTACTGAACTGATTTTGGATATTTGTACTTTGATAACCATTAATCTGCCCTTCAATGTTGACCATTTTCTGGATCTTCTCGGGGATTCTTCAAGTCCCGCCAAATGATGTGTGACGTCATTGCGGGCACAGCGCTCCAGCTGCACCGTTCAGGATCCCAGCATCTGAATGTAAACGCACGATGGCGCACACAGCAGCAAGCTCAGACAGCGATGACAGTTTAATTTTGAACGTGTCTGAGAGCTCATATGAGGCTGAAGGATCTGTTTATGTTGTATCTGTTAGAAGTTTAGGAATTAGGTGCGTCAATATGGGCAGTGCTTGAATTGGAATGAAAAAGGTGCCAGTACTCTAAAATCAGCAACTTTTTCAAGTCAATTTTATATATACAGCCCACAAACAAGAATTTGGCTACTATAATGCTGGTGGGTTTGTCTCTTTACTACTGTATATTTTAGAAAGGTTCACTGTACTTAACATTTTTTATGATAGGCAGCGGATATGGCTAAAGCTCAGTAAGGTCAATATTAACTGAAAATATAGCAATCAAAGTCTAGATCTTCTGCTGAAGACACATGAAGCAGAGACCTTTCAGGTGAGAGCCCCTCTGGTGGTGTTCAACATTAATGACAAGGAAACAAAGCTCTGGTCAGAAGCATTTTTTATAAAAAGCTTTAACAAAATTAAGTATTTCTGTACATTTTGAATGCAATCTAACTTTCCAACTCAGAAAACGAAAAAGTGCCAAAAGTCTTCTCACATGGCTGAGCTGCTTTGCAATATACTTCACCACTGAAGAATACAAATATGTATAAAGTAAACTATGATGCAATCTAACTTTCCAACTCAGAAAAATGATAAAGAGCATGAACAAAGAACATGTAAAAACAAATGCAAAATTTGCACAATCTAAAATGAGAAACTGTAACTGCAAGTAACAAAGTCTGAGCCATGGTAAAGAGTTACATTGAACACCAAGCTGATCAGATAACTCCCTGGTTGGTCTGAAGTCCTTCTATCTCCAGGATCTGTACAAATCGGCACATTATGCCAAAAGTCTTCTCACTGGGTGAGCTGCTTTGCAATATACTTCACATTGTTAGAAAAGGCTCCAGAAGGCCTTGGGGACATCAGTATCAGGGGCTGGAGCTGGACAGGCTCTTTCATCAGCACTTCTCCTTCCCTTTGCCAGCCAGGACCTCACATACTGTTCCGGATTGAACTGTCCTAGTGATGGTCCATTACATTTAATGAAAACCAGGCTGGACAGTCGGCTGACAGAGAGAGCATTCCTTTTTGCAGTAAGGATATCGTTCATGCAGCTGAATGCCCGCTCACACTCACTAGTGGAGACAGCGATGGTTCAGACTGCTTTCAGTAGAGGCTCCATGGCAGCAGGTGTACGGGATGCCCTGGTTTCCTTGTATTCGCAAAAGCCCTGAACAGTCTCTCTTCTGTCCACTTTCAGCACTTCGCACAAACGTAGCACCTCTACGTCCCCATACTGTACGTCTAACTCCTCTTCAGGCCAACTTCCAGGATGGATAACTTTCATGTCCTGGATTAGCTGATTGTCCCGGGCCTCCCGGGCCATGTAATGGGATTTCTCTTGTGCTGACATGAGAGGAGGTTGTGGAAGTCATTCTGTGTCTCAGATTCTCTACCATACTGCGGAAAAACTGACCTGCATGAATCTGTACAAGCCTGCCATTCTCACGCAGGGCAACACCCTTGAAGGACTTCTCAGCTAGAGCTGTATGAACTGTAGTCATGTGTGGGCCAGGCATGGTGACCATGGATTCAAAAACTCGTATTTCTCGAGTTAAGAGCCTATCTGCTGTAGGCAGTGTCATCTCTCTTTTTTGGAGTTGCCGAGAGAGGTCGCTGAGCTCTGTGAGCGTATCGTACATCAGTCCCAGATTGCTGACAAACATTGCAGATGTGAGCACATCATCCAGGCCCTTGTACTTTGCTCTGTCTCTGGAATCCCTGCTCGTGTCGTTTGCAGCATTTGTGAAGTGATCATGAAGCACTCGGTAGTTTTCCCAGACTGCTCTGACGCTCCTTTCACTTGAAGCCACCCAGCGGATGGACAAAACACGCCCTATCACCAGGAGACGCTGTCCGACTGCTTGCGCACACTGCGCTAACTGCCTCTGATTTTTGGGGGAGGCATGGAACAAGGAATAGAGTTTGTCAAAAAAGATCTGGAAATGATTGAGCCCTGAGACCTCCTTGACCACATCCCCAATTGCCAGCTCTAGACGATGATTGGAGCAGTGCCACACAAACAGGCTTGGGAATTTACTACACAACTGGGTAGCAACGCCTGTTCTCTTCCCTAGCATGACTGAAGCCCCATCACATGCAAAAGAAACGAAACACTGACCTAAAAAGTCCTCGTTAAAATCTCTTCCAAGACACTCCATTAACGCCTTTGTGATGTCATCAGCCGTTGTTCCATCCAACTCGATCAGCTCCCAAAAAAACGTTTCGGGCTCAGCATCAGCTAATGCTGAGCGTAGACACACAACAAGCACCGTTTTACCACTAATAGTGGTAGATTCATCGACCAAAACACAGAGTTTTCTTTGGTTTTCTGTAATGTCTTTTGCCATTTTTTTCTTCAGCTCATGAGCTATGTGGTCGATGATTTCGCCACAGGTTTTATTGGAGTGCAAAACCCTGCCCACGTTCAGCCCATTCAGTTTCTGTACATTCAAATCAATTGGCATGTCTGTGAATGGCCGGCTATGTTTGCCAATTTTATATGCCGTTCGAAAAACTCTGATAGTGGTGTCTAATTCAGATTTATGCATAGACTGCACTTGATGTTGAATAGTTTCACGTGAAGCAGATGTAAGGATGTCAGCAGCTTTTACATGGGCTTGTGATTCTTTATGTTCTTTGATTTTTTTTTCTCAGGCTAGCTTGTTGTTTGCCCTTGTCAACACCGAAATGAGACGCTGCACACTCACCCCATTCAGTTGACAGTTTCAGTCCTTGTCCAGTGTGTATTCCCAAAGATTTGACATCTCTGCATATCCGACATCCTAGCTTCTTATCTTTAAGAAGGAGCCATGCATTGGTCTTGCAAAAATATTGCACCTGGTCCGTTGTCCAGCAGTCAGGTGCATCGCTTTGCCCGGTGTTGGTGGTGGCAGTTGCGCCAGCAGCAGCTAACGTTAGAGGCTCTGGAGGAGGCGGCGGAGCTAGTGCTAATGCTAATGCACTAGAACTTGGAGCAGGAGGATCAACCAAAGAAAGCTCCCCATCAGACACAATTTCCAACACAGGCACAGCATTCTCTGTATTTGAAGTTTCTTCCGGCGACAACCGCTGTCTTTTTGCACTTTTATTAATCCACGCTAACATTTTAGAAATGCTAATTTGTGACGTGACTTGCTTTCCTTCTCTCGGGGGCGTGCCTGCTCTGTTCTATCACTCTACATAGCCACCCACTGGGTGGGAGTTGCACTGCATAAACACAACACACGTGCATCTAGGTATGTAAATTGTAAAGCATTAAAACATGGTTTTACTAACAGTTTTCAGTATGTTGTTACTTCGGCATTATTATTATTATTATTATTTTGAAACGTGTATTACTATTAAATCACGGTCAAATAGGTTAATTTTGACATAGTCGTTTCCACCACAGTACTTACATGGAGAAGATAAGCCCCGCCCCCTCTCCAGCACGTTCTGTTTGAATGACAGGAGTAAACAGCTGACAGCCGCTGTGAAACTCCAGCGGTTAGAGCGATGAGAATGTCCGTTCGGCACCTCATGACGCATCTACTGAGTACCGGGCGGCTGTATATATATATATGGATGTATAATAAGAACGGCGGGAGAGTGTTGAGTACTGGCACGGTGCATGAGTACCGGAGTACCGCCAGCATGCCGGTACTGAGCAAGAAGTGCCGGTACTCCATGGGTCAGAACCAGAAGTGCCGGTACTGCGTACCGGTGAGTACCGGCCCAATTCCAGCACTGAATATGGGCGATCATACGGTCATGTAGCCAGTGGTGGACTGGGACTAAAAATCATCCCGGCCCACTTCGGTACCGCTAGTAAATTGTCAACGGGGGGAGTGGAGGATGTCAGGGGCGGCGGGTGCTCTAGATAGTAAATGTAAATATGTAAATATTTGTGTCACTGCATCCTGGTAAAATACAAATATAATGCAATGTCTGTGTCTTTGACATTAGCGCTGCTAGCCACCTGTGCCCTGTACTACGAAGCCAGTTCAACAGACCATGGATATGTTTGAGTAACAAACAAACTAACAACAACAAACTAACAAACGAGATCTCGCTAAGCGGTCCTACGACGCTGGTTATCAACTCGGTAAATCAAGCCAGGGTTTCTCTCTCCAGCTGAGAGCGCGTTCACGTCTAAGACACGAGTGGATCTGACTTTAATTACATTTGACTCGAGTGTTTCGTCAACATAATGTGTTGCTTAAAATAATACTTCTGCATACAGTATGTGACACTGTAAGTGTTGCACGCAGTGGCGGCGGGTCATTAGGGGCAGGTGGGGCACAGCCCCACCTAGTGTCAGAAGAAAGTATTATAAATAATGATTACAAAAAAATACAAAAAAATAAATAAAAAAACATATAAAATATATTTTAAGGTCATGTTTAATAATCTGATTCGTCTGTACATTTCTGTTTTAGTCTGTGTTCTTCTAATTAGTGTCTAGAGTGCCGTTTTGAGCTGTTTAAAGCCATGTGGGACAAAACCCGATCCTGCCCCTCCCTCTCACAGTCTAAGTGAACGGTGATTGTAAAAACTACACTGCGCATGCTCAGAGTATTTTTCTATTTAATGTGTGTGGCAAAAAAATAATGACCGTAGGGGCATAGTGCTCCCATCCCCACCATACGTCATCTCACATAATTCAGAATTGATTGGCTGTAAGTACTCACGTGTGCAGTGCTGCGAAACGTCACGTGTAGTTTGAAGAGGAGACGAGAGAGCAGCATATAGCTAACATCACCAGCGATTAAAAGAAGTAAAAAACTGAAAGAAAATGAATGAAGTTGACCATTTACTGGAGCACACATTTGAGACACTTAGTCTCGGAGAGAAACTGGAGGTAAAGCGCCTCGGTGCCCACCATCCACCGGATTTCCAAATGGTCCAGACTGCGGGCAAAGTTAAACGTGGGTTTAACGCTGAGTGGTTTGCTAAAAAGAAATGGCTAACGGCGAGCATCCAGAAGAATTCCCTCTTTTGCTTTCCTTGCCTGCTTTTTGGTGAAGATCAAGGTACTTGGTCGAGGACAGGTTACAAGGACTTAAAGCATGTTTCGGAGAGGACAATGAAGCATGAGAGCAGCAAAAGTCATTTGGAAAATGCCGTAAAATTGGGATTACTTGGAAGGGTGAATGTTGCAGCTCAGATTGACAGCGCCTACAGACGCGGCATTGATTCTCATAATAGGAAGGTGGAAGAAAACAGGTACGTGCTTGGTCGGATCATCACCTGTATTAAACTGTGTGGGAAATGTGAGACAGCACTGCGGGGCCACAACGAGTCGGCGGACTCTCTGAATCCAGGGATATTCAGGTCAATTTTCGAGACAATGTGTGAGGGCGATTCCAGGCTTCAACGGCACTACGAAGCTCAGCTTGTTTTCAAAGGGACATCAAGCACCATACAGAATGAACTCTTGGACTGCATGTATGATGTGTACAGGGAGGAAATAGCCAAGCAAGTGGACAACACATCATTTGTTGCCGTTCAGGCCGACGAGACAACCGATGTCTCCTGTAAATCGCAAATGGTGATTGTGCTGCGATACATTATGCCTGACCTCACAGTTACAGAGCGTTTTTTGGAGTTTGTGGAAGTAAAGGACAAAACTGGTGTAGGTCTCTCTAACAGCATCAAGGCTGTTCTGGAACCCCTGAAGCTGAAAGAAAAGCTAATCGCTCAGACCTATGACGGGGCGGCCGTCATGAGCGGTAACGTGCGCGGGGTACAGACGGTGATGAAGGAGACGTACCCAAACGCTCAGTTTGTTCACTGCTACGCCCACCAACTGAACCTGACCCTGCAGCAACTGTGTTCAGCAAGGATGAGCATCCTGAAGGTGTTTTTGCAGATCTAACTGCTTTTTCCACTTTTTTCTCCGGTGCTCCAAAACGTGTTGCAGCTCTTGCAGAGGCAACACAGAGACGCATCCCACGGCCACCGGCTGTGAGATGGAACTTTAAAAGCAAAACTGTGAACGCGGTTTGGGAGACCCGAGATGCACTACTTCAGTGTATGAAGCATATACGCGCACAACCAGGATGGGATGCGGTCACCATAAGTGAGGCATACGGCCTGTCAAAGAAACTGCGGGACCGAGCATTTATGCAGCTCCTGGAGTTTTTTTCGTTGCTTATGCCAGAAGTGGATGTTCTATACAACACTCTGCAAAAACGAAGCATCGATGCACCTGGGATCAACAGCGCGCTCTGCCGTTTCAAGGAAAATGTTCAGAAAATGAGGCAGAAAACTGATGCATTGGCCGCCACTGCTCATGATGGAACAGACGAGCCAGGCCGACGAGTCAGCAGCACAGCGCCGGTGATGAAGGAGACTTGTGACACAGTCATCTCACAGGTGGAACAGAGGTTCTCACAGAGTGACCATTTGATTGCTGCAAAGCTTGTTGACAGCTCATTCTTCCCACAGCATGTCCTGTCATTTCCTACACCTGAGCTTGACTGCGCCGTGAAACTGTGGCCTGCGTTGGGAAACAAGGAGAAGTTGAAGTCTGAGCTGACCACGCTCTACCGCCACAGTGAGCTTCACACTGGAAACACTGCCCTGTCTCTGTTGAAATCCATTCACGAGAACAACTTGGAGGATACGTTTGCTGAGACTGTTATTTTGGTCAAAATAATAGTGACAACTCCGATGACGACATCCGAGTCAGAGAGGAACTTTTCCACCCTCAAAAGGATAAAGACTTTCACTCGCAACACCATGGGACAGCCGCGACTTAACGCATTGGCCATGCTTTCAATTGAAAGCCAGTTGATCCAGCAACTACAGGACTTCATCCCCAAAGTGATAGACACATTCTGTCAGAGGAAGGACCGCCGTGCCGCTTTTCTTTTCAAGTGAGCCTTCAGCTTTGGTAAGTTCATTTATGTCATATATTTTGTTGATCTTCTGTGTTTTGCCTCTGCTGGATCGATTGATATTGTGACCTCGATGATGAGTGTCTGTGTTTTCCCTATATTTACAGTCTATGGTGTTTTAATGCTAAAGCATTACGGTTGTTGTTATTGTTAAGAATTACTTTGTGATGGTGACCTTTACTCCATGTATGAAGGTGCATTACTATGACATCCCCACGCTGTGTACGTAAATGTATGCGCTCACAGTGTTGCTCCTGTGGTCTTCAGTATGTAATTTGACACTCCCCCTCTCTCTCTCCTCCCCCCCTCTCTCTGTCCCCCCTCTCTCTCTCCTCCCTCTCTCTGTCCCCCCCCTCTCTCTCTCTCTCTCCCCCGACCTCTTTCTGCCCCCCCCAGTTTTATACACCTAGAAACGCCACTGGTTGCACGGCCAGATACGGCTGGAGAAGCTGACTGAGATAAGGAAATATATGATAGGCCTATATTATGATATTATAGGCTATGATCGATGATCTGATTGATGATGTAATATGAATGATAAGTGCGACACGTCGGCGTCTTCTCTGTATTTCCTTTATCCTGTAATATGACTTAGAGATTTAAACTCCGCACACTGAGTTGATCTCTTTTCTATAGACGCCGGAGGCGGGCAGCGTCAGGTAAAAGAAGTTATTTAGCCTTCCCAAACCTGAGCCTCACGCGCCGCCTATGGGGGATGTGCTAGTGATTTATCCGACCGGCCCACTTCGGTACCGGCCCATCGGGATTCGTCCCGATGGCCAGTCCACCACTGCACCCAGCCCACGTAAACTGTCAACGGGGGGAGCCTCGCTGCGGGGAAACGGTGGACCTAGTGTCCCGATCGGAGTGGGAATAATAATAATCCGTGCATTCTATCCATTAATTTCCCCAACATTGTGGTGAAAAAAACCACACGTTTTTAATCCATGTTGGTGTACTACAACTACAAAAATCATCGGTTTGTTTTCTCATCAGGAAATGCAGACCGGCACAAACAAACGATTTTTAATCATCATTCTCACGATCATTTAATCTATCATATGTTCGCCGAATTGACATGAAAGCAGTAATAAATGTAGTTTCATCCACTTGAGTTTACAATTACAAAAATAATCGATTTGTTTTTATATCACATCCTACAGGGAGGAAATTCAGTAGCTCTCATTACCGATGTTTAATCCTAATGTAATCATCATCTTCACCACGATCATTTATGTTTATGTTCGCCTAATTGACATGAAAGCACTGACAAATATGAATATACTGTAGTCAACTTCATTAAAACGTTATTAACGTGCCTAAACTCAGTAATTCACCATTTCTACGCATGACAACACACTTTGTCCGTGTTTGGCTCTCTCGCCGCACAGTGAAGCGTTCCCGCCTTGACGTCACTTCCGGTTTCCCCCAAAACTTCAAAATGAGTCGAAGGAATTTCCCCGCGATGTTCGAAATTATTGATATTTAACGGAACGGTATCGCTTTTTCTTTTTTAAACTGACGGTTCGAGATTACTAGTAGCCCAATATTTCATTGCACAACAGTTGTTGGGATGCTGTCACAGGCTCTTTAAGTGGTTTATCAAACAAAAAGGCCAAATTGTTCTTCTTGTAATAAACAAATGTATATTAATTATCCTTTTTTAAATAAATAAATTCAGGAATAGGACAATGCTACCTTGGTTGCGAAACTATTTGAAGCTTGTTCTCAATTATGCTTAAGTGGATAGTAGGGTTTTCAACTGTCAGAGTTACCATGTATATGCAAGGGCTACATTTATAGAGGGTTGTACAAACTAAGATAAGATAAGATAGAACAAAAATACATTGTTGTGGGGCTGTACAAGGTTTAATGTATTATTTTAAGTATAAAAAAGAATATGCAATGTTGTGGTTTCATCTATCTATTATACAGCTATAGTTCTACTCACCACATCTGCATTATTTTGGCTGGTATTTTCTCCTGGTGCTCGTACTGCTGGAGGATCCATGAGAGGACTCCATGCCACTGATTCAGCTCAGCCAGTGCCTGCATCCCTAACATGCAGAAGCCAGCTTTAAGCTCTCCACACCTGAAGACGGGAAACACAGAAAACCACAGATACATTAGCATCCAGCTGCAGGGAGCATTCATCTCATACTTAGGAACATTGAGACTTCCACCTGCTGTCCTCTTGGTCCATGTTGGCGAGGCTCTCCAGGCCTCTGTCGCATGTGTCAAAGGCTTCCTGGAAATCTTGTTCGACCATCATTTGCTCTGCAGCGGTGTCCAACATGCTGGACATCTGTGTTAAAGAACAAGTGAGCTGCGGGCTGCAGACTGAACCGAAGCTGCGAGCTGCAGACGAACTGCTCATGACAAAAAAAAGTAAAATAAATAACACGCACTAAAATATAGTGCGTGTTATTTATTTACTTTTAGCTGCTAAATTAGTACGTGGATAGACCTGTTTGGACGTCTACTTTTGTACACAACACTCTACTCAACATTAGTTTACAATCCATCCATACTTCTTCGACCTTCCTGTTTTCCTGGCATCCTCGGCCAATCACATGTTCCGTTCTTCAGATCGACAAAAGCAGCCAATCATGTTACTCTTTCTTCACAAAGGCGTCATCGTTTTTTTCTCCAACTTGTAAACACGTGTGCGGAGCGCAGTGTGTCCCTGTCGGTCTACGGATACAATTAAAGCACCCAAAGGACATCTGTAAGTCAACGCTTATTGTTAACATGTCAAATAATACTCATACACTGTATTGGTTGCTATGTAGAATGAATTCGCTCTCAAGTTTATGCTTGGTTGCTTTAGCTTTGGAAAGCTAACAGGCTAGCAAACCGTTTGCCTACCTTGCGGTAGCTTGCTAATATCAAACGTTAGTTATGTGTTGATACCAAATAGTGACATTGTGTTATGTTATATTCTGTTTCCCATGTGGATACGTATGTAATTACGATGATCTTGTGTCATATAAATAGTGATCAGGCCAACCGTGCTTTTTTGGAGGCCTATTTTTTTTTTATATCTCCTTTAAGCAATTACAGTGGATTACACGTGATGTGTAATCCACTTGACTGTCGTTCTTCCCTGCAAAGCTGTCTCACATCTCCTTTTTTTTAGCATTTTCACTTTTTTGTATTACTATAAATGTCCTTGATATATTTCTTCAACACACTTCCCTATAATTACACCTGAAACAACAGTGTGATTGTGTTGTCCTATGTTGTTTTAGCAAGTCTTGCTAAAAGTGTAGTACAGTTTCAGAAAAACTGAACACTCTTTTTTGCATTTCAGGAGTATTATTTTGGGGTTGTCATCACCAAAGAGGATATGTTTTAATAGTTTCAGGATTCCTGTAGATACAACAATGTATACATACTTATTGATTGTTGGGCCTCTTGGTTTAGGCATCTACTGCATCCTAGAGAAACTTAATTGATTAGGAAAAAAACCAATGAAGTGTGGGGACTTGCAGAGCAGCTTTAAAAATATAGTAAGTTTGACTGTTGTGTGTTTTTCCTTTCTTCCTTCAGATCGTCTTTAAAATGGCAAAAAGCCTCAGGAGCAAATGGAAGAGGAAGATGCGTGCAGAGAAGAGGAAGAAGAACGCTCCCAAAGAGCTGGCACGCCTGAAACAAGCTCTGAGTATGGATAAGAAAGGAGACGCTGTCATGGCCGACATACAGGACATCGTCACTGTGGTGCCAGCTGACAAGATCAAGAAGCAGACAGATGTGGGGGAGATGGAGGGGGAAGGTGAGTGAGAGATTGTTAACAACATAGTTCACAGATTTGTAAGTTGTATTGCAACATGTTTATTTATCATCTTATTTTTTAATCCTTGTCTTTTGTGTTGCAGATGGTAAGATGGACATGGACAGCAAGCGCAACAAGATAACTCAACTGAATGAAAATGGACAGTACCCCGTGTGGATGAATCAAAGGCAGGCCAAAAAACTAAAAGGCAGACGCATGGCAAAGAAAAACGGCCACAGCAAGAAGAAGAAGGGCCTCGCCTGGTAAAGCAGAGGAAACAAAAAAACACTGCTTTGCCTTAAAAGACTTTTTACGCTGCAACACAGAATAATTTCATGTATTGTTTTATACATGTAACAGTGGAATTTCCCATTCTGTTAAGTGGATTACAAGATTCATGGTTGTGAAACGGAGACTGTTATTAAGTAATTCCCTGCAGGAAAACGTTTGTTCTTATGGAACAGCAGCTTCATCTTAGGACACGTTTAGAGAAACTAGAACCAGTCCACAATATGTCTGATTGTCATTACTACCATTAAAGTCTTCAAACTCGGCTACAGTAAACGTCATGTTTTATGTTTGAGTGATACTTGGGTCATATGTTGTGTCATTCTGCATATCCCCCCGCCCCTCATTTTGTTGGAGCTCTCTACTGTTGTCAGATTCTTTAAACCGATTTGTATACATTTTCAATATTGCTGCGTATTCTATAATAAAATTGTATGCAAAATAATAATGAATGATTGCTTCCCACTTGTAAACAGACTTTAATTAAAGGTTTTTCTTTCATTTTTCAACACTTTGCTTTAGGACATTTATTTGGAGAGCAGAATTATGTAAAATAATGACAATATGATCACAATATTTTACTTTTCCTGAGCTAGAAGATAATAGCCCTGACATTACTGAACATTTTCAATAATCAAAATGAACTAAGACAAGCTGTTGGCATATAAACAACACAAGAATGTTGCCTTTAGAATATATGCCAGTGATTTAAATCAGTTAATCTCATGAAGAAAATGAAACTTCTTACCACTAATATCATCACACCGTTAGATACTCATTTACACTGACCCGAAGGTAGATATTACACAATAAAAATAAAGAAATCGTCTCAGCAGAAGCCATCTTATTATTTATTATTGTGTGATTTATTCTATAAACACTTATATTTCCCTTTGCTGCACATCCTTAGAAACATAACTAAGTTAAGCTTGTTCAAAACCTCCCTGATCATTTCCTCACTGCGACAGCTGAACATACGCGGCGGGGAAGAGACCAACGCGCCCGCGACAATGTCCCTTCCACCAGCCCTCGTCAATCATCTCGATGTTGGTGATGATATCATCTGGGTTGAAGGAGATCTCATCACCAGCCTCTGTGGAAAAGAAGAGGATTTGTTCTCACAAATGTCGAGATATAATAATGAAATGTCCAAAAAAATGAAGAATTGAAAAGTGTCATACCTGCTTCGTAGTCGTAAATTGCTACAGCCGTCTGGCCAGTCGACAGGTCTTCATAGTCATCATCGGCTGTGAACGGAACATAGAAATGAATATTTGTTCTATAAATCAAAGGTTTGACGTGTAACTGACTGCCAGGCTTGGGGAGTAACGAGATTACGTATCAATCAGGATGCAAAAGAAGGTAACTGTATTCCCATGCAGTTACATTAAAGAAATAGAATAGAATAGAGAATACTAGCAGGTGTTGATATTGAGGTAATCCAAAAGGTAGGATTAGGTTACATTACTTATATATTGGTATACTCAGTTTTGGTTACAGATTATATGTTGTGACATGTAACTAGTCATTGTAACGGATTCCATTTTTAAAGTAACCCTCCCAACCAGACCTGGGGTCGCAGGAGGAGGCGGATCAGCGAGTTCCTCGTACTCTCCCTCATCCTCCTCCTCATCCTCCTCCATATCTGCAGACAGACCTGGGGGTGCAGGAGGAGGCGGATCAGCGAGTTCCTCGTACTCTCCCTCATCCTCCTCCTCATCCTCCTCCATATCTGCAGACAGACCTGGGGGTGCAGGAGGAGGCGGGTCAGCGAGTTCCTCGTACACTCCCTCATCCTCCTCCTCCTCCACATCTGCAAACATGTCTGGGGGTGGGTGGGCCTCCAGGGAGTTGGAATCCTCTGAGCGCGGGGGCAGCTCCGGGGGCTCCTCGTACACTGATTCCTCCTGAAAACATCACAGCATGTCTTCAACTTCATGTTCTCAAATCCTGGAGGTGACTTTAGGATTTTAGCACATCACCTAATCTCAGTGTACGTCTGTTCTGTGTTTTCCAGATTTCTCAAACAATTTTAAAAACAGTGAAAAACGTTAAGTTTCTAAAGTGCAAGGTCTGGTTTTGGCAGTACATAAGCCTATTATATTCCGTTTAATGATATAAAACAGAGAAACCCAGGAACTCTCTATAAGAGAGACGCTGAAAACAGCATCTTCTGCAATTTAAGCATGAGCAAATTAGTCGTTAATCAAAATAGTTGGGATTCGTTAACAAAAATACGGATGAATCTTTTGTTTAGTATAATTTGTTTGAATCAGTGTCTTACCTTTGGTTCTGGTTCAGGTATTTCTTGTATCTCTGGCATGTGGTGTTGGATATCTGGTGGAGGCATTTCATCCTCCACCTCTGGAGCCACATCTGGAACAGGTGGTGGACGGATTTCCTCCTCTCTTCTGCTCTCCTCCTACAGGGAACACACATTCATTAACACGCATATTAACCTTTCGTTTATTTGCTAATGTTGACAGTGTGTTACCTCTTGTCTGCGTTTGGCAGCCTCGCGCTCTTTGCTCTCTCTGGCTTGTCTCCTCGCTCTCTCTTCTTCTGCTTTCTTCTTGTCTTGTTCCCCTGAAGCCTTTGCCATGTTCTCAAAACGTGCCTTCAGTTTCCCTGCGCCCGCGCTTGCTGCAGAAACGGATACAAACATATATAATGTGGCTTAAAGGTCCCCTATTATACTGTTTTTCATCAATATATAATATGTCTCAGATATATACAAAACATGTTTGGCTCCGAATACCAAACAGATCATTGCAGCATCTGTTACTTTAGATGTTTGATCATGGTTACACCTTATCGCTGGTGGCTTTATTTGTTCACAGAAAGATGGCGCAGTAGAGTTTATTGTAGTGAGTGGAAAAATGGACTCACAGGCCTCTAATGGTTGTGTCTTTTCATACGCAGAGGAAGGGGAGTCCATGTCTGAGAAGCCGGCTGCACTCTGAAAGAGATCAATAGAGAAAGTATTTGTTTCCAAAAGTCCATATAGATTCAATATATACCATTAACTATGTTACATTTGTCCATACCGACATGTGCAGGAATAATAAGTTAATAACTAAAATGGTTCATGTATGGGTCCACAAAAACACCAAAAGAGATATATTCTGCAAAGCCTCACACACCACTCTCCATACTACACACATATTAATTCATATTTCTATATACAGTATATTGATTTTTTCATACATCCACAGCAAGCTTGAACAAGCCTTTATTACCTGTGAATTACAGCCTTAACGCCCACCAATTCAAATGACTAAAAAAGGCTAGAATTTGTGTTACAATTGTACTAAATAAAGATAAAATAAAATATATTAATGCCAGTAATGGCAATAATGTAACATCAACATGCCAACACTACCATTTTATTTAAGTTTAAATAATAACCTATAATCATTTACAAGAGAAATAAATAAAAAGTGAAATAACAGTTGCAGCTGTAATACTGACCTTATCCATGCGGTCAGCCTGAACTCCATAACGACCTCCAAAACCTGCTGAATAATCTAAACAGATCCATTTGATCAGCCTGACGTACTATAGTTACATTATATTTTAAAATACACACATGTGGATGTCTCCTTACCTTTTTGTGACTGATGTTTCTCCGTCTCGCTCTTATAATCATAGCCCAAAGCAGCCTTATCCATTTTCTCCTTCTCAACACCAAACTTCCCTCCAAATCCTTTTGAATAATCTGTACATTAAATAAATAAACACTGATCAGAAATCCTGGACAAAGGGTGTGAAAACAGACGAATGCAACAACTATCACGGACCTTTCTGTGACTGGTGCTTCTCTGTTTCTCCTTTGTAGTCGTACCCCAAAGCGGCTTTGTCCATCTTCTCCTTCTCCACGCCGTACTTTCCTCCAAAGCCCTTAGCATAATCTGGTGAAATAAAGTGCAATATAAAGAAAATGTCACAAAAAATGTGTCAAAACTGATTATTGCTACAAAGTAAGCTCACCTTTTTGTGACTGGTGCTTCTCTGTCTGGCCTTTGTAGTCGTACCCCAAAGCTGACTTGTCCACTTTTTCCTTCTCCACACCGTACTTTCCTCCGAATCCCTTTGAGTAATCTAAAACATGTGGATTGTAGAGGAAATTCTGTGAGGTATTAGTTAACAAAAGTACAAATATTGTACTGTAGATGAAATTGCCCCTTTAATGTTACCTTTCTGAGATGTGTGTTGCTGTACCTCTCCTTTGTATTCAAAGCCCATGGCCGACTGCACAGAAACAAAGTTGCATTTAAGGTTATTCATTCTTTAAAGACCCCTTCTGTTCTGAACAGCGAATGTTCATTGTTGCCATTAATCGGAGATACAGGGTCCCTCGCTTTAATAAAGTCAGACCGAAGCCCTCCAATGTGCACCAGTTTAAGAGATGAGCATGACCATAAGACTAGACAAGCTACATCAGGCCATCTACTGGCACCTAAACCCAGGACAAATCTTCTGAACTCTTCTGTGTCTTATAGAGCTATAAAGGAATGGAACTCAAACTACCTTGCTGAAATAGAGTCCAGAGCCTCTTTCAAGAAGAGATTGAAGGGCCATATACTAATGACCATGTACCCTTGTGAGCTGTGAACCCTAACTTAATTTGATCTCATGCTTTGTAGTGGTGGGTGTTTTGTATCTCCTCATCCTTGGCTGAGATTGATATTGAAAGTGGATGAGATTGTTGATGATGTTGGAAATTGTTAATGATATTGGTGATGTTGTTAATGATGTCAGGACTTATGTCTTGAATGTTGTTGTATCATTGTTGTATTATTGTTGTATTGTTTTAAGTGGTCGGACCCCAGGAAGAGTAGCTTTTGTCAAGAGCAAAAACTAATGGGGATCCTTAATAAACATAAACCAGTCAATTCTAACAGTAAATACAGAGCTAAATCCCAGGTCAAATGCATGCTGAAGGGTCTTTGAGCATGTTGCTCTCACTGATATTATGTCAAATGTTTGCTTTTCTTGTCTTAATACCTGTCCTTGTTAATGTTGCAAATGGATCTGCTGTGACCCAAGTGAAATGTCAGACTTGATCTGATTATTAAAGTAATATTGTATCGTACCTTTTATTAAGTGCTTTGAATGGTTTGAAAACACTCTGCCTTAAATGATCATTTGTGTCCGATATGGTTTTAACAGAAAAGCTGAACTAAACAGATATAGATTCTTACATTACATATTTGTTCTCCCTTATTTCAATTATTAATATCATGTTTCCACATCACACGTGTGAAAGTTACTTGTTGGTGTACGATTCATTCCCAGACATGTTTTTATGCCTACAATCAAATCATGATAGTAGTTACACGGGTTAAACTGAGATTTAGAAACTTATTTGAGTGCAATTCATTCAGTGAAGGTCAAACATCCAGGTGAAGTAACAATAATCAAATCAGATAAGAACGGATGTTTTTTAAGTCTCTTCTTCTCCTCACCTTGTCGACTCGATCTTTCTGAACACCGTATTTCCCACCGAAACCTTGTGCCCCATCTTTCTGAGAGGAGTGCTGCTCCACTTGTGCTACATAGTCATTCCCCAACGCCGCCTTAAAAACAGATATAAATATAAACAATCCAGCCTACAGTTTGTAGGAGCAAAGGATGACCTACATTGAATCTGGCAATAAATAAGAGAATCCTATCATGATGTTTTGAGTGTCAAAAATGTGTTAACCTTGTCCATTCGGTCCTTTTCGACTCCAAACTTCCCTCCATATCCGTACGAGGCTTTGGGAGTGTGCTCCTTCTTCTTCCCCTGCTCGTGCTCCGCAGCCACTGTGTTTCTGAGATCTGCAATACTGGGAGGTCACACAGGGTCAAACACACTGACACAGAGAAGCACAGCAGTACACACAATGATAAAAACATCTGTCGTAGAAAAAACTAAGCAGGATTGGGGAGGGGGATATAATTAGAAATACAAAGTCTTACATTCATGGGAAAAGAGCGATAGGGGTGTCATTCCTGTTTTTTTCTCTGATATTTGAGGCTTTAATCTTAGATAAATGTTCTTTTCTTATCCAAAATATATTACTTCAATCTCGGAAATACCCATCTCCGTAACTGATGGTGTAAATGCAACACTTCCTAATAAGTTATTCATGTAAATAAGTTGTTTATAAAAAATTTTTTGGAACAGATACTGTACAGGTTTTGTATACCTGAAGAATATACAATATAAAAAGATAAATGCAGTGTCATGTTGTATGATGAACAGCTGAAGGTATGCTTCACAACAGCAATAACACCTTATAAACTCTTGAAAGTGTGAATTAGCGGTAAGTAAAGACTTCTTTGAGCCATCTCTAGGCCTATTCAGCACCACTGCTTGTATTTATAGTCCCACCTATTCAAAGTGACTGTCACTGTTACATAGTCACCATCATATATTACCCATATTAGGAAAGACTCACTGCCTGCGACTTGTGCTCTGCTCTCACTTCCTCTTCCTGTTGCTACACAGCACCATTTCTGTCCTGCATTTCTCTACATAGTGCAAGGAATCGCTCAGGAGGTGTGCATCTCCTACCTGATGTGCTCCTGCCGTCCTGAACCCTCCACACTCTTTGCTCCCCACCTCTGCTCCTGCTCGGATATATCATTCTGAAACACACAACCAGGAAGGGTTTGAGTGACGCACACACCTTTATACAGTGATTCACATATCTGCAGGAAGTGTACAGTACCTCAAAGTCAGGGTCTGTCTCCCAGTCTTCCCCCTCTGTGGACACCTTCACGTTCACATTGTGGCCCACGACTGACTTCCACATCTGGGGAAGTAAAACACCATGAGCCACACTGAAGACAGTTTCTGAGTCATCATATGTTCACATCTGGAAATATTTTTGTTATATTTTTTAAAACTGTTATCAAAGCACTGAGCACTTTTTATAAAAATAAGTAATGTTATGAACAAGCTATGAACACAGTTTGGTGAAGTGTCAAAAGGGAAGTTATTCTCAACACAAAGCTTCATTTCCCCATAATGGAACACACTGCAGTACTTCTATAAAGTTAAGAGACACTCAACTACAAAAGAAACAGTATCATGATAACATATTATTTAAAAGAAATACTTCCTGTAATGCACATTGTTTCTCAATGGAGGCAAACACAGTATTCTCTATTCATTTAATAAATGCGAAGTTAGCAATTGTCCCTTTTACTAATTGTTCATTGTAACATATGTTGCCCATACAGGTGCATATTAAGATAATAAAATACATTAAATGTTAGCCCTTCCTATCTTACAGTATTCTTTTTGCAGTTTTTTAAGTCACCCATGTCGCATTTTCCTAACGGTTTACAGTACATTGCCTTTAACTACGTCTCAATATGTACTTCCTTAATTACATTTAAAGGTGATTAAAATAAAAGCACATAGACCTATGCTTTTTATAGCAAGTTTGAAGTAAGCAAAATAACATTACCTTTGAGTTGTCAGGGTATTATATCCGTGTTTAAGTGGATGTTAAACCGACACAGTGTTCTTGAAGTTCTTCAGTCAAGTGGTGACAGTTTAATGGGCGACAAGTGAACGCGGATCTTAGGTACGTGAACGCGCGTAGATGTAAATAATGATAATATCGTCTATTTTTATCGTACTTTAAATTATAACATTACAGGATCTTGTTATTTTAGTATGCAATATTTAATACAATATACTGTTGGAGACCTTTACAAAAAATAAGTAAGAAGTGCTACATTCAAGTGCTCTCGGAAATCACAGACAAAGTGGTGATAAGAGTAAATGTGGAGTTTAAGAATATATAGGGGCTGCTAGCACTAATGGTGTAAAACACAATCAGTTAAACGCATGAATAATTATGGGCTCTTATGTTAGTTACAGTTTCTGACCTTGAGAGTCCTTTTATAAACAGAATTTGTCAGCTTTGTGATTTAGCAGGTTGTGGTGTAGTTACAACACTGGGGGGCAGACACACACCATACACAGTATTAGGAAACAACTGGGTAATAAGGTAATAATATCTCTAAGTACTCGCTGACCATAGTGACTACACATTAAAGGAAATGTTTGTTGTTTTTGCTGTTAAAAAAAGCATCGTAAATTGGGCTCAGACGTCAACGTTTAGCCATGAAAATGATTTTGTGTGAAAAAGTAGCTGAACATAGTTAATTCCTTTTTCTCTTAAATTCTGGCAAATAAAAGCAAATTATTTGAAGGCAATAGATTAAATGTCCCTCCAGGAATTGTAAAAGTCTGCATGAACAATTAAGTAAAACGTTGCTGAACCTGTTTTTCATACCCACTGGCTCTATTTTATTGACTTAGACGTAATACTCATTTGAACTCTTTTAACTTCAATCTTTAAATTCACTGACATCAGTACAGACAGACACAGCTGATGTGTTTAATCTTTATTCTGTGCTAAAAGAAAGTGAAAGTAACTTAACAAAAAGTCCCACAGAGAAGCATTATGTTTTAAAACCAGCAGTTCAATTGTTAAAATATCACAGTTGTTATGTCACTTCAACATTTATAAATGTTTGCTCAATCATCGGATAACGTTTTGTTTTAATTTTATGAATTAAATAAAACCATTAACTGACAAAAGTACTACAGTAATTTAAAATATACCAATGTGGTTTTTCTACACAAATGAGAAAAATAATTAATGCTTGACAAGATCTGTCCCTGATCTAAACCACCATCACTTTTATTACATTTTAGTTTTCTATACAGCCCTTTTTAAAGTTATTTACAGTTAAAGTATATTTCAGTGTGTAACACATGAAGAACATAAACGTTAAAAGAAGATGCACACAGATCCTTCACCAACACTCAGCGATTAAATAAACAGGAATCAAGAGGATGAAGTCAGTATACATGTAGATCATTCTGACTGCTATGGCATTAAATGATGCTACATTAGAGTGGATTATAATGGGATGGATATTGATAGGAAACACGGCAGTCTTTCTCCTCTGGAATGGATCCACACTGCGGTAACATTGTTCACCTGCTGTAAAAAACTACAGAGCAAACTGTAAAATCTGTGCAACAGAAGCCTGGACGGGGAGGGGATCTTATTGGATATGTTAGGAGGGAATACCCACTTCCACCTTACGTACATAATAACAAATATCACTATAATGCTCCCCTTTCTCGTGATTTATATAAGAGGAAAAGAAAAGGAAACACACTACAGGAATGTGTACGAGCAAATATTGCACTGTGCTCCAATTTTGTGCGTGAAATGAGTAGAATAGGAAGAGACTGGATTATAACAGCATGTCCTGAGCCTCAAGCCATCTTCAAATTATAGTTGGACATTTTGACAAATACGCTAGTTCACTGGAAGTGGATGGAAGATTTCCATCACTCAACAGCCAAACATTTCAATAGAAATCGGTAAAATTGACAAAACTGGTAAGTCCGTACTTGAAGTGACCCTTTTAAATCCAATACAAAGGCACATAAAGAACACCATCATGACACACTTCAGAAAGCAAACTTAATCTCCTGTGTCCTTCCTTCTCGGGTTTCCCTTGAAGTCATACACAAGCAACATAATTAAAACCATTAACAACAAACTAAATACATTTAAGTACTTTGGATAAAATATGAATGCTGCGTTCATGTTATTGGGAATAATCGGAAGTTTCCATTTTAGGACGGTACACAACTTCATAATCTCATGTCATGAGACAACAACGCTCATATCTAAAGCAGTAACATTTTACAGAAGTAAAAGTTGGGATACAGTAAGAAACTTAAATAATTAACACATTGCTTATCGATGTCTGCTCCTATGTTATTTGTAACATGGTTATACCGTAATTTGCTGTTCACGTGAAGTGACAGGAAAAATATACTGCTATCAGCGTGTCGTGCTCTATCGAATTAATAAAATACTAAATTGTCTCTGTAACGTCCATGTTGGTAATTGTATGGACTTTATATTAAGTCTTTCTAGTCTTCTGATCACTCAAAACACGTTGTTGTTTTCACATAACGGCTTAAAGCTAATAAAGGCAGAAGAACGACTTCCCACCTCTGTGGATTATCCGAGGGGCGCATGAATGCAGCATTAAATCCTGTAAAGTGCAATGTGTGTGTGGAGAGCCTCTTACACAACTTTTTATAATTGATGACATTAAAAATGAAAACAGATGGATGGCTTGGGTTAGGTCTGCATCAAATTTCCATTTCCTTTCCCCTCCTCTCTCTAACTCTAGATCCTATTGGTCAGGTGTTTAAAGGGAGCGGTTCTCAGAGGAGCCCGCCCAGACACAGCAGCAGCAGGATGTGCACAGTGAGCAGATAGAGGCTGAGCAGCAGAGGGGTGCGCTGGCGGGAGCAGAAAGCCCCCCGCAGCATCCGCATCAAGCTGGGGCCGCCTCTCCGAGCCTGCAGGTGAGAGGACAAGGTTACATCCAGCTCATACGTCTGTATTATTATAGTTACTTTGACAAATGAGGTGGAAGGAGACATTAGAGGGAGCCTTACTCGAGTGACGGCTCCTTCCTGCTCGATAAAAACAGCCGTGTCCGAGTGATCCTCCTCCTGTGCCGAGTGCCATGTACCCTGGCTGTGACTAATAATAATAATAATAATAAAACCGATGTTAGTGGTGATAATTGGTCGATTAAACACATTTATGAGAGCTTAAAGATTCACTTTTTAGAGATGCAGAACAAATATTCTGAAGCACTGTTTATTAACTGCGATTACAAATCATGATCATTCACTCAACATTAAACACATAATAATTAACAATAACAAGCAATTTTGTGATCATGTTTATCAAGTGCTTCTATTGTAATAACTAAGTATCATTGTTTTGGATTGAAAAAAGCAAATTGTCTTTAGAAGCAATCCATTTTACATTACATAGTGATTTGATCATATATACAGTATAACATTAAAGTATTGCTTTAAGTTCCCTTGTCTTTTATCTTGCATCACTTTTCATACCGTTTGAGTTGATCCTGTGTGGCCATCAGCTGCTCCTCAGCAGCCACTCTCTGCTGCATCTCTTGATCTAGCCTGAGGTAAGAATGAAATGGATTAGTATCCGTAAATGTTATCCTTAATCTTTTAAACAGTGTTTCAGGTCAAGCTTGACCTCTACATTACCTTCCCTGCAGCTCTTTGACCTCGGCTATGTATGCATGGCTGTCTGACAGGCTGCTACGCTCCTGTGGGGCTCCGGGAGCGCTGTCCACTTCCTCTGTTCCCTGAACAAAAGATTATAAAGGATCCACGTTATATGAAGCATCCTTATCCTATGTTCTGTAGATGTTATAGGTTTAAATCAAACCTTGTGCAAGCCCCATTTCTGGAGAGCTTTGGATCAAAGTCAAATATTTCTAACAACTTGAAGTCCAATTATTATTCCCAAAGTGAGATGTGGAACCATCTATTAAGGACACACACATCTATAATGTTCCTTTGCAGTCAGAAGTAGCAGCAGCTGTATACCTCTCTCTGATAGTGTTCCTGCTGGAGCTTGGGCTTCTGAGTGCGGGCCTCCTCCAGCATGGCGCTGAGTTGCCGCAGTTGTTGGTCTCTCTCTGAAAGAGTGGTGAGGGTCTGCTGCTTCAGCTGCTCCGCCTGAGCCATCCAGTCCATACGCTCCAGTCTGATAAGACCAAGACAAATTCATATTCATTCACAAACAGAAAAGCAGGGTTCCTACACCTCTAGTATCCTGGTACGTATGGCATTAATGTGTGGCATTTTCTTAATAATAAAAAAGCAACATTGTGATTCATCAAACCTTTCTTCCCATGTCTTAGCGTTTATAGACTTTTGAAAGACGGATTAAAGACATTTATAAAACCAATTAAGGTCCTATTTTAAGATTCATACATTTGAAGACTAATTAAGGTCTTGCCGCGAACCTTGAAACATTCTTGTGGCATTTTGCTTTTCTAAACTCCGTCTCTGTGTTTCTCACCTGAGAGTTTCTATCTGCCGTTTGCCCATTTCCGCCACATTCTCCAGCTGCATGATGATACTGAGCATGTCTTCATTCCTCTTCCTCTCTTCATACAGCTCCTGGCTGACTTTTATCAGCTCTCCGGCTCCAAGTCGAGCCAGCTCTGACTTCAGCTTCTTGAGCTCAGTCGCCTGTGTCTGAAGCTGCTCCAGCTGCACACAAAGAGAAGGAAGGAGAACAAATAGATATTGAAATAGATTTAAATGAAAATCCACAAATATCATATATGTTTTTGCCAGGAGATTTGTGATGTCCATAATATTTACATGTATTTGTCAGACATGTAACTCACCAGTCTCTCCCTGTCATTCTGCAGGGCTTGTAGAGCATTCTTCAGACCCCACACTTCTCCAGTGGAGCCCCCGGGGCTGCTGGGTACTGGGACGCCCCCTGCTTTACTCATCTCCTCCAGTCTCAGGCTCAGGTCCTGGGCCTTGTTCAGAGCCTGGTCCCTGCTGTCCTGCAGGGAGGCCATGGCTTTTGAGAAGGACTGGTTCTCTGCTCTCAGCTGCGTGGTCATCTCTCTCTCTGCCAGCAGACTCTGTTCTACAGCCAGCAGGTCTCTGGCCAGCTCCGCCACCCTCTCCTGAGCGTTCTCTGACTCTGTCCGCATCACCCCCCCCTCCCATCGCAGCTCTGACAGCTCTTTGCTCCTGCCCTGCTGCTCCTGTCTCTCCTTCTGTAATCTCTCCTCCAAAGCCTCTACTTGCTCTCTGGCTGCTTGCAGCTGCTCCCTTAGCTTCTCCACCTCTGCACCGGGAGCATCTATCACCTGTGGTGCAGCCTGGCTTAGAGCCTCCCTTTCCACTTTCACTGTTTCCACTCCCGTCTCTCCGGCTCTGATTACACTCTTTACCTGACTTTCTAATTCCGCAATGCGCGCTCTCTGAGCGGCCAGAAGCTGCTTGTGCTGCGAGTCCTTCATGCTCAGGACTTGGTTCAGTTCATCGCGGTAGCCGTGGAGCTGAGCGGACAGCTGAGACCTTTCAGCATACAGGTCGTCTCTCTGGACCAGCAGAGAGCGCAGCTCTTCTTTCAGGCTGTTGTTCTCCCCTGCCGCCTCTTGGATCAGACCGTCCTTCTCCAGCATCACCTGACACACACAACAACATTCCTATATCATCAGCTGGGCATACAACTCACAGAAAACATGAATGAAAGGGTATATCAAAAGCACCATTACAAGCTCTCTGTGCCTGACATTTTTTGCACTTTCTTAAAAAATGGAGTTTGTCTAAAAGGTTTGCAGACACGTGCCTTAAGCTTCATAGGAATTAAGCCATATGTTCTAATAAAACTTAAAGTTACAACATTTTTTGCAGGATTATTTTTGAGTATTAGGATTAAAATAAAACCTATATCTAGTCAAGCTACCATCCCTCAAACACTTCAGATGTCAAGATTTTTCTAATACAGAAAAGAAAAGGTATGAACTAATGTGTAACTCAGAGAATCATTTTCCTTTTGCTGTGTCTCATTATTGCTTCTTAAACAAGGAGAGCTTGTGAAGAGTGCTCAGGAACTAACAGCTTTGAGCAATTATTTCCAGTTCCTGTGAAGTATTACATTGAAAATAAACATTATTTCCTCTACTACCAATACTCTAAGCTTTAGGTTTGTGTGTGTTACCTGCAGGTGTTTCTCCTCCAGCTGTTTGTACATGTTGAGCACTCGGTCTCTGTCATCCTGCAGGGAGCCCATGGCCTTCATGAAAGAGTCCAGTTTGGTTTTTCTGTTGTTGCTCTCCTCTTCAGCCTTTCGCAGTTTTTCTTCCAGATCCCTCAGTTCCCCTCTCCTCTGCTCCAGCTCCTCCTCAGCTTCCTTTGCCCTGCCGTCGGCCTCCTTTCTAGCCTCCTCTGCAGCCTGGGGAACAAAAACAACCATGAGGAGTGAACAATATAGGGAATGCTGGAGATAAAAACCTATAAATACCTGAGCAACAGCATGCTCCTTCTCTCCCAGCATTTCCACTTCTCTCCTTTCCTTCTCATTTAACTCAGTCTGCAGACTCTCTGTCAGGGCTTTAGAGGAGCGCAGGTCTGTCTCTAGTTGCTCCACGCTCAGACACAGCCGCCTCTCTTCGGCCTCCCGCTCACTCAGCTCTGTCCTGGCTTGGTCCACTTCACCCTGCAGCCGCCCGACAGCCTCCTCCAGAGCTCTGGCCCTCTGGTTGAGACTCTCCGCCTCTCTTTTCAGAGCGTGAGCTTCACTTTGTGCAGCCTGCAGCTCGGATGTGGTTTGCTGCAGCTTGTTTTTCACCTCCTCTAGGGCAGCTTGGCTCTCTGCTACTTTCTTTTCCTCCCCTTCCAGTTTCAGCTTCAAATCTTTCTCTGCCTTCTCCAGCCTTAAAGAAGAAAATAAATCTTGTAAGCTTTAAGCTAAAAAGCAAAAATACAATCAAGGAAAAATGGAAGAGGACGTTTTTACCTGTCAACTGATAGCTGAAGTTGCTGCTTCAGAGCAGATTCTCTCTGAAGCTGTTCTGTCAGATCCTTTGCTCGTGTCTCAGCTTCCCGCACCTCGGCCTCCTTACCCTGCAGAGAGTCACTAAAGCGAGTCTCCCATTGTTTGGTCTCGTCCAAAACTCTGTCTCGGTCGTCCTGCAGTGAGGACATGCAGCGCGAGAAGGCAGCTAACCTGGCCAGAGACTCGTCCAGGCGGGCTTGCAGCTCCTGGGCTCGTCTCTCGGCTGCTCTTGCGACCTCTCTGGCCTCTAGGGTCGCTTCCTCTTCCTTGTCCCGCTCTCTGTCCACCTCGTCCAGTCTCAGCTCCATCTCCTTCAGTTCGCCTCCGAGTCTGAACCTCACAGAGTCCAGGGTCTGCTCCGCCTCTGCTTTCATCGAGGCCTCTCTCTGTTGGACGTTCTGCTCCATGGTACTCCTCTCCGCTATAGCTACGTGTGCCTGCTTCTGGGCCTCATCCAGCTGAGATGTACAGGTATCCAACTCTGCTTCTGTCCTTTTCAGGTCTTCTAGAGTTTTAGAAGTCTCCAGTTGGGATTGTTCTAGCTTATTCTGGAGCTCGTTGTAACCTTGCTGCAGCGCCTTAGCGTCTCTACCCATCTCGCTGATCCTCTCCTGGTACTTGATGCAGTCCCTCTGCAGCTGCCGGACCTCCAGCTGCTTCTCCCTCAGCAGCTCCTCCAGCTGCCGCGCTCTGCTCTGGCTGCCTTCCCTGACCCTCTGAGCGGACCTCAGCTGCTGCTCCAGCTCCCTCTGCTTACCAGACTCTGCTTCTGCTTCTGCTCTCTCTCTCTGTGCTTGCCTCATGTCCTCCTCCAGCCTGGCGGCCCGGTCGCTCTCGCTCTGCGCCTCGGCCTCCAACTCGGCCCGCTCCCTCGCCAACCGCTCCACCTCCCGCTGCAGCTCGGCCAAGTGCTCCCGGTTGTCCGCCGCCTCCTGCTGGTAGTCTGCGATGCTGCCGTTGAGCTGGGCCAGCTGGTTCATCAGACGCTCCTCCAGGTTGTCCTTCTCGGCTTCCAGGCTCCTGAGCAGCTCTTTGAACTGCGCCTCCCTCTTGGCACCCTCCTCCACCAGGCTCCTTTCTCTCTCTTTGCCCTCTTGGAGGCACTTCTCCAGAGAGGCCACAAGGCTCTCCTTCTCTTTACTCTCCTGGAGATCTCGCTCAAGAGAGGCCAGCTCCGCTTTGAGTCTAGCCTCCTGTTGCTGCCACAGTTCCCTCTCTGCATTGACAGCCACTTCCATCTCCCTCATTTTCTCCTCTAATAAAACTTTAACACTTTCAGTCATTTCTGCTTTTTCTGGTGCAGGCGCTGCAGCTATTTGTTCAGCTTGTGTTTCTTCCAAGGGTTTTTCTTTGTCTTCATTCTGACTCTCAACAGGCTCTGCTGTAGACATGGTTATAAACGGATTGCTGGGCAGTGACTACCTCTTCTTCAACAGCTGCATTAGTTATACTGTCCTCTGTCGGTCCTGTTTGTGCAAGCTGTTCCTTCAGTTCCTCAATCTGCTGCCCTAACGAGTCTCTTTCTGCCACAGTAGCATCCAAGTCAGCTTTCAAAGCCCCCAGCTCATCCTGAAGTCTTTCAGCCTCTGCTTTGAGAGCCCTTCCCTCTCGCTTTACCACAGTCTTGTCCTGCATCTCTCTGAGTCTCTCATTCTCTTCCTCTAACTCCATTATTTTCTGCTGCTTTCCTTTGGCAAACTTTCTCATTTTGTCTTTCACCAAATCCACCTCTTTCTGTGCCTCTTCGCCTTGCCTCTCAGCTTCCTGCCTCCCGGCCTCGTGCGCCCTCACCTTGGTCGCGAGGTCCTTCCTCTCCTGCCGGGCGGCTTCCAGGACTCGCCTCACTCGCTCGGCCTCGTCGCTCACGTTTTCGTACGACTTGAGCAGTGTCTCGTACTCGTCCTTCATGCCTTGAACCTTCTCCTCCCATTCTCTGCAGGCTTTGGCGGCCTCTTCTCTGGCCAGCTCCACTTCCCTCTTACAGGCGTCTTTCTCACTCACTACGCCCTCCATGGCCAGCTTGAGGCTCTCGCAGGACGATCCTAAGCTTTGGTTTTCCACTAATGTCCGGTCAACTTCATCAATCAGTCTGACTCTTTCCGCTTTTAGCTTCTCCAGCTCATTTTCAGCGGACTCCATTTTGTGCTTCAGCTTTTTAATGAGCTTCTCAGTTTCAGCCAGCTGTTCCTTTTTGGTTTTGTTTTCTTTTAAGACCTCTTTGCGAGAAATCAGAGCAGCCTGAAGTTTCCTTTGGAGCTGCTGGACCTTTGCCTCGCTGTCTTTTTCTTCCTCTTGCTTCTGTGGAACCTCGACCTCTAACCTCTGGGATTTTTCTTGCTCAGCATTCAGTTCTTCCTGTAAAGAAACTATCAGCTGATCCTTCTGAGACACTGTGTCCTGCATCGAGTGTATGAGAGACTTCTGCTCGCTAAGCTGCTGACCTAGCTCCATGATTTCAAGGTTCTTATTGTCGAGGAACTCCTTGAAGTCCTCCACCTCGGCCTGAAGAGTTGTGATGGAGGATGTCGAATCTTCAGATGTTGCTTTTGCTGCAATTTCCATCTCTGCTTTCAGGGTTTCAGCGTAAGCCTCAGCTTGGTGAAACTTTTCTCTGAGGTCATTCACTTCCTCTGAGAGAGCATCAATCTGTCTTTCCTTTTCTCGCAGTGCCCGCAGCTCTTCACCCAATTCCAATAATTCAGCCTCCTTCAGTGACAAACTGGTGTGGGTTTCCTGCAGCTGCTTCTCTAGCTCTGCGTTAGCCATCCGCACGCTCTGGATTTCTCCTCTGAGGGCTTGCAAAGACTCATCCATTTGTTCAGAAAAGAGCGACTGCTCTGCAGGTTGCTGGACCGGATGACTGGCTTGTGGCTGTGATGAATCTGTCTCTGACGTGGCAAAATCCACCCATTCCTCCTGGACCCAATCACTTGTTGCTTGCTTTTCCATGTGTTCAGACAGTTGCTTGGCCTCTTTGGGAGGTTCAGTGCTTATTTGTTCTTCTAATTCTCTCAATTTAGTCAGAAGCACTTCTCTCTCCGCGCTCTGCTCCTCAGATCGTTCTACGAGCTCGCTGTATTCTTCTTTCTGCTGCTTCAGCTGTTCCCGGTGGTGCCTGTCTTTCTCTTTGGCTTTGCGGATGGTTTCCTTGCGAGATTCTTGAGCCTCCTGAACTTTCTTCTGAAGGGTTTCGCACTCTGCTTCAAGAGAGGCCACTTGGGACCGTAACGCAGTTATTGCAGGGGGACCGTCAGCCTGCTGAGAGTTTTCAGCTTCTTCAATTAGCTTTTTATTCACAGCAAGTGTTTCAGTGAGAACTCGATCCTGTTGAGTCATCTTCAGATCGAGGGCCTCAACCGCCTCTTCTTTGGTTCTCAAAGTTTGTTGGAGTTCGAGGAGTTTGGCCTCCATTTCCTGGATCTCCTGCCCTCTGGATAGTTCTGCCTCTGGGATGTCTGCAGGAGTTTCAACCTCTCGCTCTTTCAATGTCTTCACTTCTACATCGAAATCAGCAACCTTCTTCATGAGCTCTTTGCGTTGCACAAGTGCAGCCTGCAACTTCTTCTTGGTGGTCATCAGTTGGGTCTCCAGCATTCCTTTCTCCTTTCGCACACTAGCGAGTTCATCATCTACCTGAGCGCCTGAGTCTTCAGAACTCTCTTTGGGTTTCTCGTCTCTGACTTTCTCAAAGTCTACTATCTGCTCCTTCAGCGATTTGACTTCACCATTTCTCTGGAACTTCTCTTCCTCTGCTTGGAGGAGTTTTGCTGACATACTGTCATTGAGCTCCGTCGCTTCTTGCTCCTTTTGTCCGAGAAGGAGTTGCAGCTCGCTGATCTCCGTGTCCTTCTTTGATAGAGTGTCATTGTTGAGCTCTGATGTCTGAGAGTATTCCAACATGCTGTTTTCCATCTCTTGGAGTCTCCTTTCGAGCTCAAAGGAGAGGAGCTCCCTTTCCTCCAGCTGAGCACTGAGCATCCTGACATGCCCCTCCTGCTCTGAGAAAGCTTGTTGAGCTGTTTCCAGATCTGCCTGCAGGGCCTGGATCCTCTCTTCCTTAGTTTTACTTCCACTGCTCAAAATGTCTATCTGTTCTTCTAGAAGCTGCATTTCAACACCGTATTTCTCCGCCCCAGAGCTGCTGTTCTGAGAGAGCTTTTCCATCTCCTCTCTGGTGGATTGAAGTTCCTCTTCAAAACTATTGGACTGGGATTCTGCTTCTTCTTTGGCAGCAGTGAGATACTGTGTCTCTTCTTCCAAGCTCTTGATGTTCTCCTGTGACTCTGCAGCTGCCTCTCTGAGCCCCTGAAGCTCAGCCAGAATATCACCGTACCTCTTCTGAAGCTCCTCAGCTAAAGCCTGAGCAAAGACCCGACCAGAGGATATGCTGCCCTCTGTGGTGGAAGAACTCTGCTGAGTCACGTGAACTTGAACCGTCTCTCTGATAATGACAGAGGAGGACTCGACTTGAACTGTGGAGGTTTCCTGCTCCATGCTCGTCGCCTCCCAGGACTGCAGCTGGCTAAAGTCCTGCAGGTTGGACGGCCACTCTTGGCCTCCATCTTGATTCAAAGCTTCCAGGAGGGTCCAGCTGCTGTGGGCCACCTCTGAATCACTACTGGCCACCATCTCATCTGAGGAGGCTCCTTTGGATTCTTCCGGGGACTCAGACTGGTCTCCGATGAGCTCTGGGCTGCTCTCAGTACCAGCAGACATGGAGAAGACTGACGTGTCTTCGGCAACTAAGGTGGTTTCGTCGTCACGTGAATCCTCCATGAAGCCAGAAAGAGCTGCAGAACTGTCATGGGGGGGCGTATCGGCATCCTGACCCTGATCTGGGGTCTGTTCGTAGTTTTCAGACGATGCAACCCCACTGGCGCTCTGCTCAGTGGCCTGTCTGAGGGACTCTCGCAAGGCCAGCAGCTCATTGTCTCTTTCTAAAAGCTGCTGCTCTAGTTCCAGTATGTGCTCTGTGAAAGACAATAACAGGAGATGGGATTTAAAATGTCTGTTACTTCTTGAATTCTCAAAATGTAATTGAATGGCACACTGATTTTGTTATTTTATATAACTGCTGTCACAAAATAAAGAACTCAAAATCTACAGCAGTAGTAGTAGCAAATCACTATAGTTGTAAAATAAAGGTAGTGGAATAGAAGTATAATGTAGCAAAAAATCACTGGCTGACACAACAAGTTATAGCTCAAATCTTTTTTTTTTAAAGTGGCCTAGCCACCAAGAGCTCTTTATTTGTTTGACTGTATGTATGCTTCCATTTCATGTATGAGTTTTATCTTGGAAAAACAAATCCAATTTGTGTACCATGTTTAGCTTCAGTTGAATCCTGGCCCGATGGTTCAGTCACATCATCTCTTTCAGGTGTCTGAAACAAAAACATTTGAAATGGCAGAATTACATTTTTGTTGACCTTATTATTAAAACATATACTAAAGAAACCCATTAAAAAGCTTGACATGGCTTCTATCAGTCCTTAAATATATGTCAGCACTATATATGGCCTTAAGTTAAGACGGGATAAGGTATAACAGTTGATCAGTGCAGAGGGGATATAATAAGGGACATTTCATTACAGAGGATAAGAGCAGTCAACTTGCCCTTTACTCGCAAAATAAAAGCTGACTGTGCAAACGGTATATCAATGAAAAATATGAAAATACAATGTCACAGCTGTCTGACATTGTAGATATTAAGAACTGCTTTAGCTTTTTACACCTCAGCCTATACCAAGCTTTTAGTCCCACAATAACATTTATTTGAAGTTAAAGCATGTGCAGAGGATCACAGAGCTTATTTACAAGTTTACATTGTATACAAAACAAGTTGCTTCTTCTTCAGCCTAGCATTAGCATGATGTTTATAAATCATAGCTGGTGTGAATGCATGCAAAATGCTCTGTTTGGAATGTGACAAAACCGGATAGACCACATTTTTAGCTGACCAGGCTCGCATTGTGATCGTTCCTCAGATATGTGTGACTGTGATCCGTGCAGCATGACCACAATTTAAAGAAGAAAACCTGCCCAGCGAGTAGGGCTGCTCAATTAAATCGTATTTTAATCGCAATTACGATTTTGGCTTGCAACGATTATGAAAACAACATAATTGAAATAAAATGATTATTATAAAAAATAAAAATAAAAATGTATTATTGCTTTTTCAGTTGAATTATACTTAAAGTTCAAAGTAATCAACTGTTAAAAACATACTGTTTAAATATTTGTTTTCAAAGTAAATGGATAATCGTTTTTAATAATCGTGATATCAATTATTGACCCAAATAATCGAGATTATGATTTTTGCCATAATCGAGCAGCCCTAGCAGCGAGTTGACAGGTCACCCAACTCTTCCTATCGGTCGAATGTCTTTGACAGAAACGACAGAGAATCTAGTCTTCCCTGACAAATCATGATTTAAAGATAAATCTGACTGACTTAAGCACTTTGAATTGCCTTGTGTTGAAAAGTGCTATATAAATAAACTTGCCTTGCCTTGCCTTGCCTTGCCTTGCCTTGCCTTGCCTTGCCTTGCCTTGCCTTGCCTTGCCTTGCCTTGCCTTGCCTTGCCTTGCCTTGCCTTGCCTTGCCTTGCCTTGCCTAATTACTAATATGTACCTATAAATGTTCTCACTTTGTACAGAAATCACGTGCACACACAAAGTTACCATTAGATTGAAGAAACATGTCCAACTGTAAGTCAGTAAAAAATAATGAAAACCAAAACTTTCCATTTCAGTATGGACAGTCTTATAAACTCCATCGCAATGTAGGACTGAGAGTTGTTATAATTCAATAGTGTAATTTTAACAATAAATGATGAGTATATTTCTAAATTTGTTTAGAAGGAAACTGGAGGACAGCGATTAAATACAAGGTATAAATGCAAAAGCCTAATGCATCCCGATACAGATCATATGTAAATATCAGAAGTTACATTGTCTTAGCACTCACTGTTATAAGGTTATGCTCCAGCTGTTGTACCCTGGCAGCGGTTTCCTCATGTTCTGTGGTATGTCTGTCAAGTTGATCTGAAAATTGAAGATTCATGTTATAGCATCTTAATAAAAAGGCTTGACACAAACACACATAACTTCATAAACAAACACAAACAAACACATGATGTTACCATGAAGGGTTTCCATGGTGTGGGTGAGATGTGCACAGCGTTCCTCGCTCTCACTGCGTTCCTCTCTCAGCCTGGTCAGTTGTGTCTCAATAGTCTGCACAGTGTCCAGGAACAGGGAGAGGTCAGAAGGGACGGGGACTTCCACTGCTGCTTGCTCATCCTCGACAGCCAAAAAGCGAAGATGTTTCCAAATCTCAGCCAAGACCTCCCCCTTCTTCTGGGCATCTTCATGTTCCTCCTTCAGTGAGGCCAGCTCCTGCTCCAGCTTATCTACTTCTGATTGCCCCCTCTCTGAAGCGTCCTCGCTGGAATGAACAACAGCCTCTCTCAGGGATGCAAGCTCGCTTTCAAGCTGCAGTATTTCCGCCCTGTCGCTCTCTGAAGCATCATGGCTGGCTTGTACGGCTGCAAATTCAGCCTCTTTCATCAGAGACAGCTCTCTCTCCAATCTGGCGAATTCCATCCTCTCCCTCTCCAGAGCTTCCACATTCCCATGCTCTGCCTCTCTCAAAGCGGCCAGCTCACCACCTTGCCTCACCAGCTCCGCCCTGTCCCTTTCCAAGTCCTCCAGGCTGGATCTGAGGGCTGCCACTTCTGCATCGGCACTGCTGGCCTGTCCGCTCCACTGCTGCCTCTCCTCCTCCCGCTGCTTGGCGGCCTCGGCCAGCTCCTGCTCCATCTGCCGGAACTGAGCGGTCAGGATCTGTGCAGAAATTAGACCAGAAAGAAGCAGGACTTGAGTGGGTGTGTTTTGTGTGGCTACGTCAAACAATGCATAATAATGTTGTGCCATCAAGATGAGGGTGTGTCTGTTTGAACAGTTTTCTTTTCATCTAGCAGGAGCAAGAATAATTGCAACATCTGCATGTGCTGCCAGTGTGCAGAACAGTCCACATGCACTGAATCCAAACCGTACCTGTTTCTGTTGATCAGCGCTGCTCACTTCCTGCTGCAGCATTTCTAGCACTTGGGATCGAGAGTTGAAGGCCTCCTCGAGCTCCTCACAGCGCCTCTGTGCTGCATACAGGGCCTGGGAGAGCAGAACAACATCGTGACCAAATGACTGTATTAATGGTGAATGAATCTGTGATGTGTGGACATCATTTGCTATTTTACAAGCTAAAAAAACATTGCTTGTTGTGTTAACCCCCTTAAGATGATCAGAAGCAAATTCCAGTGATTTGCCAGTTATCCGTTTCCTCCAGAGTAAAGTGTTTAGCTCGTGTTCATCGGCTATGTTAGGACTAGAAGGTGTTATACTGTATGTTTTTATGTTAAAAAAAAACAGACTTAACTAAATTGACATTTCATTAACCTATGTTTATTTGCGGTAATAACAAGCAGACTAATTGATAATCACCATATTACTAAGTTGTAGCTATACAAATCAACAAAAAGAGAATAGAAAGAGAAGGAAAACCAAACAAATTCTTGGAGTAGGGGTTAAATGGGTTGATAAATATATAATCCTCACTTTGAATGTAAGTTATTTAAAGCACTCTTGGATGTTGTACCTGCTGAAGCTGGCCATCACTCTGAGACTGTGCTGTGACCCCCAGCAGCTCTTCTTCATGTTTCTGGATCTGTTCCTGGAAACGCACGTCCTTCTCACAAACCACAGCCTGCAGTTTCTGCAACTGAAAACAAAAGCACAATAATTCATTTAGAAAGCAGAATCATGAATGAACTCTGTAATTGTTTTACACGATATGTCTATATGTTGCTATAAACACAGTTATGTCACCTGTTCAGCGTGGGCACATTCCTTGTCCTGAAGGCTTTGCCCTGTGGTCCGGAGTCGCTCCTGCAGCTCTCTGCTGTTCGCCTCCTCCTCCCTCAGCCTGATCCTCAGTTCTTGGAGCTCCTCCTCGACTGCAGGACCGGCTCCAGTGAAAGAGCTGTCTGGACTCTGCTGTAGACAAAGCAGATGTTGGAATCAGATAAAAGCATTGAGCCTTATTGTTGGTTTTTAGTGAACAAGGGGCATATCTCAGTCTATATAGGAACTGAACAATAGGAACTATACAGGATACTGGAGGATGTTTTGCTACCATCATACAACCATGACCATTTGAAGTGTTCATACACACATTTAAAGAAGAAATTACAGGACTTTAAAGCACTCTCCATGTACTTTTTTCAATTTTCAAGGATTACACTCGACATGGTAGGCACTAGGGCTGCACGATATATTGTGTCGTGACGATAATCGCGATATGCGCATGCGCAATATTCACATCGCGTGGACGTGCGATTACATTTTTTTTTAAATTTATACATTTTTTTTTTTTTTAATATTAAGTAGGCAAATTAACTCAAACACGTCATGTTACAATTATTTTGCTGCTTGCTACAAAAGGAAAACTTGCGCGGCTCTCATATCAGGGGTACTTGAGTGAGTGACATGCAGGCTCTGCATGCACAGCAAACCACCAATCACAATCAAATCTCCAAAGCAAACGGACCTGGTGATTAAAGGTAAAAACACTGAATAAAGTAGTTTCATGTGTTTCTCCAGGGCAGTTCTGCGCTGCTAACCGAGCTAGCTCAGCTTGTTGCTCTGATAACTTAAGATCCAGACGTCCGTGACTAAAATCCTTCATCCGGTTAAATATGGTTAAAGAAATACCAATTGTATAGCATGAAAGTTCAAGAAAGGATGGTTTACGGGGAAAAAAACTGTCTTTTCTTCAATTCCTGTATGTTTACATATCGCAATATATATATATATATATATATATATATATATATATCGCAGGGGGGAAAAAAGATCGCAATGTCAGTTTTTTCCAATATCGTGCAGCCCTAGTAGGCACCCTGTATTAAGCCTTATTCAAACTTACTGGTGCCCCTCCTTGTCCTTTCAGCTCAGTGATCTGTTTGCTGAGTGAAGCCATCTTGGCTTTGGCCTGCAGTTTGAGTTTGGTGAAGCGGGCCTCAGCTTCGTCTTTCTCATTCTGTGGATATAAAGCAAAAAAACATAAGCGCTAATTGATAAAAGACATTGGCATAAAGAATACGATTAAGAGACTTTTGGACTCTCGATAGCAGACTCACACACACACAGGTTATTTACCTTGAGCTTTGCATCTTTGTCAAACAGCTCATTGTCTTTTTCTCGGATGAGCTCCTTCAGCTGGACCACCAGTTGTTCCAGATGAGCCAGCCTCTCCAAGGCCTCCTCAGGGGCCTCCGACTCCCCTGGAGCCTGGCCCTCACCGGCGGGGAGCTGAGGCACCAGAATGCCCTGATCAAGGAAAGAGAGAAGTTACATTTATTTGTTATGGTTAACTTTGTAAAACGAACCTGCACAGCTGAAATTGGACCAGACATCTTTAGCTGAAAAGTAGAAGACACACTGAGCAAAACTCTTCATAATGATTTTTCATACTGTACTGTTGCTTTCTCACCTGTGGGTCTCCATCTTGGCCCTCCTCTCCAGAGAGCTCCTGGAGGACTGTGGCCAGACGGCTGAACATAAAGATGCCACTGTGAGGGGGAACAATATAACATCAGTAATGATGGTCAAATGTTTCCTTATCTGCTTCTAAAACATTCCTTCCTGTTTACATTTAGTCAATAAGTGTATTAAAGAATTCCATGTCCATGGCTCCTTCTTTAACTGTGCAGGAATTTAGTGTTGTTACAATTGTGTAAAATATTAACAACTTAGAATGAACATGAATATTACATTATTTTCTATATTTTGTTATTTTCAGAACAAGGCATTTTGCAGAACCATGCTTACAGAAATAACTATTCAACTTATTCTGTGCTAACATTTTCCCATACTTTGTAATTATTTGCCTTTCCTCCCTCACGCAAATATGTGCAAAGCAACACATTGGCAGAGATCCCGACCTATCTTCTCCGAGTTGGATCGAACAGAGTCGACTTCCTCCGAACCAGCCTGACTTTCCACTGCGGCTGCGTCACTCTTTTTGTGAACAGCAACGATTATAGCTAGCTAACGCGAAAATGGACGGCAAACTTTGCAAGAGGCTGGACAATGGTGTCTTTAAAAATTAGAAGACACATATTACGATTAAGAAACAGCAGTGTGAAGGGGACACTGTGCCAAGACACCCGGTGTTTACTCTGGCTGTAGTTTGCACAATTACAGTAAGTAAGCTAATGCTACTTAATGCTATCTAACGCTGGTAAATAAGGACAGCTTCTTAAAAAATGCACAGCTGAGTTTTTCTCCTTGACGGATGACAGCTCTACTTTGCAACCCAGTGACAGGTGGAGCTTTTTTTTAAAAAGAAGGACATTTTGACTCACCTGTTCGAGTGCTTTCCAGGTGAATGTATCTGCTTTTTATGTGATATATTTCCTCGGATGGATGTCAGAGCATAGCCACATCACCAAACATTCCCGGAAACAACATTTCCTGTGTTCTGATTGGACAGCCGGGATCTGCGTGTATAAGGGACTGTCTGCAAATTCACAGGCGTGTACTTTTTGAGGGACTATCTGCATTTAATATTTATTTTTAAAAAACATTAAATTAGCCTCCAAACAGTATAATGATGGCAGGACATGAACAAAGTTTGATCATGATCATCAACCATGGCAAGCAGCTTGGGAGGAGTCTGCTGATGCTGTTTCACTACACCACAGTGTTTGTGGCCTTTGTGGGGCGCACAGTGCAGTGGATGGTGGACGCAGTGAAGTGGACCAGCCTGTTTGCACGCTACACGGTGTCAGTGTTTGACTCCATCTACAAATATCTGCACTGGGGAAAGAGGATAAGTGTCGCTGGTGGAGGTGCCAGAGATATCTGCCCGAGCTCTGACATGGATCATCAACATTGACTAAACTTATTTTAACTGTGTTGTCTACACCTAAGGCCAAATTGAGACAACCACAAAGACCGCACCGTGGACCTGAAGGGGATTTGGAAACTGAATATTAAGGACAATGAGGCCTTACTGAAAACATATAGCTGTTTACTTTTTTAAGCTTTTAAATATAGCTATTTGTTATGTGGTTACATAATATGTGTATTCCATCATTCGAATTTGTCTTAAAGCTCTTCCAAAATGTTGGAAAATATTGCTCTATTTGGGAGGTAAAAGTGTTGCTGCGTTTCGTCACTCATATCTGCTGTTAATGCAAATGGGTTACAGGGTAATGCAAACTAGAGTAAAATGTGTTTCCTCTTCCGAATCTCATTATTGCACTACAGCAGGTGTAGGATTTTTGATTGAAAGCTACCAGCCAAATGTTGATTTTCTGTCTGAAGCATATTTAATTTAGCTGCAAAATATATTGTTTTTGTCCAGCAGGCCAATTCTTATGTGGTATTAGTAATGAAAATCCTTGAATGAACAATGAGCTTCCTGTGGAGATTATGCTTCCTGTGGTTTTCCTGTCATAATCTGAAACTATTATCCTATTTTGCAAGTGTTATGGCCAGTTACGCTGCTCCTGAATGTATTCCAGAGGCAACTACTATGAATTAAACCATTCTTTAAATGTCGATGTCAATGTCAAATTGGAAGTGAAATGTTGCTTTAAAAGGACCCACAGCTGCATTTACTAATGACGTTTTTATTTTTTGTTTTGTATTAGTGCATATATTTGAATATCAATATTTTTGATAGCTCATTTAGCTTCCAGTTTATGCACTAACAATGTATATATCTGTTATTTGTCTGTTTTAATGACTAATGAAGTTTTAAGAATGCATTGTTGGAAACACTAACTGCACTTATCTGCTAAATACCACTAACACAATACTGCTTAGGAAGAAATGTATATTTAGGAAGTGAGACTTCATTTCATACAGAAGCACTAAGACATGATGGATTTATTATTTTACTTGTTTCTGGTATCGTCACTGAGATCAAAAAGCTTTTTGCATTGTTTTTAAAGTAATGACACTAACTGTTATGTTTAATAATCAGCCATGCCTTCTTGGTTTTAAACTGTGGTATCCCAATAAAATTCTCTATCGAATATATAGTAATATTTTTATTTACAGCACCTTTAAAAACAAAGTTACAAAGTGCTTCACATGGTTAAACAAAAACTAACATAAGATACATGAACTATGCAAGGGTAATTATCACATTGTAAAGTGAGATGGTATGATTATAATAGGAAGTCGCATGTTAACATTGTAGGCATAAAACTGAATAATTTTCACTGTGACTAAGTAATAATACTTAGGTTTTTCAGTTTAAATATAGAAAAATAGAAATGTTGGTATGATGTGGTAGGACAGTGTTATAGACGTAGTACTGTATAACAAAAAAAATAGGCTAAAACGGAAAAAATAAATACTGGGGAAAAAAAGCATCAAGGTGCAAGATATGTTTTGAGACATGATTTTGATTTGATTTGATTCTGCAAATCTCAGAAATAGAGCAGCAACTAAAGATCATTTTTTATGAATTCTCAATCTGCTGAGTAGTGTGTTTTGTAATGTGCATAGTGTAAAACAAGAACGCAACACCTGCTGGAGTCCTCAGTTCAGATGCATTATGTGATGGATGTCCCTCGTCTCCACATGACGGTAGAAAGCTGCATCTTGTGTGTCAGCAGTTCTCGTGGTAAATATGGATGGAGAAGTCCACCTGGCCTTTCAATGGGCCGATTATGCTGATCATCTGCCTCTGTCCGGCTTACAGACAGTGATTAGATATTTATATATACAGTCTATGGATTAGACCCAAGGAGGACGTCCCCAGCTACAAAAGGCCCCCCCATCAGCTGCTGCTCTCCCCCTTAGCCCTGTTGTTGTGTGACTGTGACGAGGGATAACATCCCCTTCACAGTAGACCAGCAGCTGCAGAAAAGAGGTTCAAGGTATCTTCTCCCTACACACCCAGGTGTCAAAGAGGAATGGGTAACTCATCCTCAAGCACCGTGGACGACCTGCAGGCGGTGGAGATGCACCTCTGGTACAAGAAGTTCATGACGGAGTGTCCCTCGGGTCAGCTCACCCTGCACGAGTTCAAGCAGTTCTTCGGCCTGCGTGGCCTGGACCAGGAGGCCAACACCTACATCGAGCAGATGTTCCGCACGTTTGACATGAACAAAGTAAGATTCTGTACATTCAAATACAAAGTTCAAGAGGGTTTAGACTTCGGTTGCAGAGAAAAAACGTTTTTTTTATATATCTGAGAGGGTCAGGATTTGATGGTATATGCAGAGATGGCAAAAGTACACACATCCTTTACTCAAGTAGAAGTACAGATACTCGTGTTTAAAAATAAAATACTGACTAAACTTCTTTACTCAAGTAAAAGTAAAGAAGAATGGGCTTCGAAATGTACTTCAGTAAAAAAAGTACCCATAACTAGCAGCTGTTTTAAAGAGTACCCTTTATATTAATAGAACAATAATGTCATTGTTAGCTAATGAATGTTTCCATGCTGAACAACGGCAACTTGACAACGTTTTCATTGGTCGCTCTTCTTTAGAGAAGACCAGGAAATGATGGATACACGGATCGTGTTCAAATCAATAGGCAATGACTCTAAATAATAATGATCACGCCACCAAACACAGATTCAAACTAAAGTAAACCTGTTTTCAAAATGTAAGAAGTAGAAAGTACAGGTATTTGTGTTACACATGTAGTAGAAGTAAAGGGGAAAAGTCGTCAGAAAAATAAGGAGTGGAGTAAAGTACTGATACCAGAAAAATGTACTCAAGTACAGTAACGAAGTATTAGTATTCCACTACTTCCCACCTCTGGGTATATGTGGGGTTTCTAGTTTGCGTCATGTTTTGCATTTCTTTCTACTCCCTTTTAAAGAGACAGAGTAAACTAAATAAATACCATGTGGACATAAAGACGTTATTGACATGAGATGAAGAAAGACTTAAGTTTGTGTGCATCAGTGAGTTATTCTGTCTTTATTATCTACACTGAATATACAATTATAACTCAAACAAGCGGTTCAGTTATCTCCCAGCTACACGCTTGTAAACCCCGGATCATGTTTATTAAGATTGTCTGGGAGCATGAACAGGGTCATCGCTATATTTAGGCCCCCTTCAGCTCACAAAAGGTCATGTTAATCTCTCTGCATGATTTCAACTATGGGATTATCTGTGAGATTGTTGATGTTGTTTGGACAGTCCCTGGAGATGACCCTGTGGCACACTTTATTTCACACAGATAGAATTTGAAAGTTGAAATGAAGGTACCGTCGTCAGTGATTTTTATCTTTGAATGTGTGAAAATAGTTAAATATTAATCAGACGATGATGTATAATCATTGATTGATGTTTTTCCCCACTTGTTTTTGCAGGACGGCTACATAGACTTCATAGAGTATGTGGCTGCTCTCAGTCTGGTGATGAGAGGGAAGATGGAGCACAAGCTGCGCTGGTATTTCAAACTCTATGATGTGGATGGTAATGGTTGCATTGACCGGCATGAGCTCCTCAACATCATAAAGGTACAGCATATCATGCACTCTCTATTTTATAGCAACTCATGGTCTCATCATGGCATATTGATATACTCTGTTCCTGCAGGCTATCCGTGCCATCAATGGGAATGAAAGTCAGGAAGATTCCGCTGAGGATTTCACTAACCGCGTGTTTGACAGGATCGATATAAACGGAGATGGTGAGTGTGTGAGATTTAGAACATTGGGAGGACAGTGTTGAGACATTTATCAGCTGTGAGGCTGTCTTGAGGCTAAAATCTATGGAAGACCAGACATAAAAAAAATTCCTTTATTTTTAACCGTAGTATTTATTTTATTCTCAGAAATTCAACTTTAATCCTAAAATGTCAAGTTAATTTTCAGTAATTTAAGAATGTAATTATCGATTAAATGGTTCTTACACAAAATGCAACTGAATAAAAAAAATGTAATGAATAATAAATGTTCATATTCATTTGTTCTCATGGTAGGCACTAATTTTCTTCTGTAGAAAACCAGACAATCACAACAACACAATATTATGTGGATGGCTGATGAACTTCCAACAATCCTTAAATCGTTACCAAAGGATGTTAATTCAACAAGTACAATGTAATACATGAAATGCAATTTTAAAACGGGGGTGTGGGACTATTTTTACTTGACTTAATTTGGGAGAAAACTGCATGTTTTTAAACGTCTTTTCCCTCTAACAGGCGAGCTCTCCTTGGAGGAGTTTGTGGCCGGTGCTCGAGGTGACGAGGATTTCATGGAGGTGATGATAAAAAGCCTGGACCTGACCCACATCATGACGATGATCCACAATAGGAGGCACAGTGTTTAGTGCCTGCCCCGATGACTTTATCCTTATACACAATTCAACCTGAGAGTTCAGTACATGGCCTCTGAAGAAAAGGTCTTTCATAGACTAAGATTTCTATAAAGATTTAAACCAGGTTATTGTAATTCTGCTGCAAACTCTGACATATCTTATTTCTAACCTCTAAAAGAATCACATATGCATTTGGATGACCTTTGCAAAGTGGTACTTGTCTTTGTTTATCGTCGCTGAGCTCTCCCAAGGACACCTTGGCACGAGGGATGATCTCTCAGACGGTCCACTTACCCACAGATTCCCTCAGGGATTAAACAGGGAGAAAGTGGAGCAGAGTGGCAGTTATATGCACTTAATGCTTTCCAAATCTGTATTTTCTGGGCGTCTACATCAAAATACTTAATGACTTTTTACTTGTTCTTGCAGCGTAAAGTACACAAACAGGTAAAAGTGTCTGAAGAGATTAAGCAGTGTTCTCATGTTTACCTTTTTTATCCTTTTTTAAATAAAGCTGAAGCAGAAGACAAAACAGCAGCTTGTGATTGTGTGGCATTTAGGTGTGGGTGTGTGTATTAGCTTAATAACTTACTGCCTGTTCAGCAAACCCCATGACTTCAGTATACGACCTCATACAACAGGATCAACAAATATGACACGTTGTGGAAAGTGAACCCTCCCTTTAAACAAGTACGATGATTTTCCTGCACGGTGCCAAGGTCGCTCCATGTAAGGCACACATGCTTAACCTGCATCGTGTTCATCTTTTTCTGCCATTATTTGAAACAGGATGATCTTTTGTAATAAAAAAGAAAAGGAATGTAAACTATAGTATTACGCTTGATATATCCTGTAAAACATAGAAAAACTAAAACAAGTATAAAGCAAACATGCGAAAATGGCTTTTATTTTATACAAATATTAAACATTATTATTAACAGTCATGAGACAAGGAAAACAGGGTTATTCTTTAACCACAAGGGGGCAGCGACATAATTGGATTATTTTCTTACACAAAAAATCCCAACAACAGTCCATCTCCTGATACTGCTTATCTTTAGATGGATATTATCCTCTTTTGTCTTTCTGTCACCGTGTCTTGCCTCTTTCTTTTCCTCAGGGGCTCACAGGAAGTCATAAAGGTATTTGATAATCTCAAAATTCACAGTCCTGGAAGGTAAAGCAGACAAAGCATATCCTCTGTGAAAAAACTCGTAATTTGTTTTCATTTTCAGTCAAATGTGTTTTAGCAGACATGCACACACACCTGGAGATGGCACAGATGAAGTCCATAGAAACGGCACATTTGTATTTTGGGGCATCGATCTGGTCGCCATGACTGACCTGCGTCAACAGCTGCAGGGTCACCAGAGAGGAGATCTGACGGAGAATCGAGGGAAACATGAAATGCCTCTCGGTTCCACTTCTTTAAACAGCTTTGCCTCACTTTGAAGCACTAAATGACTGCCAGTAGCACAGATATGGGTTGAGCCTAATTTCCTAAACCCATTTCATGCTCGGGCCATAAATAGATCAGCATTTGGCCTCAGGTACGAAACTCATGACCATATGGGTAGAAAACTCTCATCTGAGACACTGTGGCCATTAAGTTTGATTTAACATAACATAGTGTGTCATTTGCTCCCAGAAATGGGAACAATTACAATTTAAAATCCTGTTAAAATGACACTATGTTCTCATTTCATTTGCTTAACTGGCAAATGGGGAAACAAGCATGACGTTATTTGTTTAAATATTGTGTAGAAGCTACTTCACAGACCCTGGAGTATTCCTAAAGTTGACTTTCAAAGTCACAATCATAGAGAAAGATTGAAGGCACTGTAGGGCAAAATAAAATAAAGAATCATCCCACTACAGAGCTCAGGTTAACAGATTAGGACATGATGACATCAAAATGTCCCATCCAGAAGTTGGTATTTCAGGCTGTAGAGAAATGGCAAACCAACACACTCTCAGACATTTCCATCCCTACAGCCATACTGTACCACTAGCACGGCTAAAAGACTATGAGTCACTTATGAGATGCCAAAGAGAATCAATTGAAATGATGCAGAAACATAAAACAAACGGAATAAGATGTGATAGAACGTGCCAAAGAAAACCGATCATTATTCATTTACGGTAACTTTTTTTTTTTTGCGTCTGAAAGTGTCTCGACCCTGACCTGGGAGAAGATGCTGGCAGTGGGGGCCACTCTGCTGTCCACCACGCTGTAGAAAATGGCGAGTAGGCGATCCAGAGGAAACGGCTTCGGCCCTAGAAGGTGGTTACTAGTCTAGAAAACAGAGACATATTAAGATTATATAACTTAGCTTAAATGTGCAGAAAGGGCAGTGTTATGTGAAGATGATCACCTTTTCATTTTTCTTCAAGAAGTTTGTTTTCTTTATTTTACCGTGGTGCTGTTGGGGGATAACAGAGCAACATTAAACTCACACAATAACACTTAAAGGGCTTTACAATCTGTACAAGATACCAATATTTATAATATAAAACTGCTGTACCTTTACAAAGAAGCGTTTGTCTGTGCGGGCAGGGTTGAAGGATGCCAGGTAGGCAGCAATCAAAAGGAACTTGGAGTAATAAGGCAGCTCAACATGAGTGTGAGCGGACAAACCTGAAGGGAAATAAAGGAATGAGTCAGGTGTACTGTGCAGTGTGTAAAAAGACTTTCATACAGTACATCATGATGCTCAGCAACCCTACATTGATTCATACGGTGGGAGTCATTTTTATGCTGTTCCCAATTTGAGCATTAATACAAAATGTCAATGCACCTGTTTCAGCAGTTTAACATCTGCTCTGCAAGCGTATTACGTCATTAGATTCAACAGCGCTAAGTGTGTGTTGGTACCTCTCACTGCTCCACTCTCCTTCTCCTCCATTTGCTGCATTTGCTCCCACTGCAGGCTGAACAGAGAACAGGGAATTATGAACACAAACCACAGCAGCAGTAAATACGCTGATTCAGGTTGTTCAAGCAGAACTAGAACGAGCCGTTAGATCAGAAAGTGACATGGTTCATTAGCAGATCGATGTAAAGCCGACAGACCTGGACACTTCCCGCAGGTAAACAGTCTGCATGGCTTTTTTCAGATGAGGCTCGATGTTTCTCCACAGCTTGTGAGTGTCCGTCTCTTTCACTGAAGTCATGCACAGAGGAGCATTGATGAAAAAGCCACATTAAGAGCATACAATCACTTTAAATGGCTTATAAGAGAATAGATGTTATCAGGAAGAATAGGAACATGTAATTGCGTAACGGTTAAGGAGGGGTGACGTTTGTTGTGATAAATACAAATATCACCTTACTCTGCAGTCTCCAATGAACTATGAGGCTTTTTTGCCTAATTTAACTCAATGTTTCGGATATAAGAGAGACAGATTGTTTTGTCACAACAGAACATAAAAAGCTATAAAAACAGTGATTATTCAACTTAATTTATAATTCTATTACATTTAGGTGTTATGGTTTACCTATATTTTGCTGAAGTATGGTGGATGTGAAAATGAGAAAAGGTTTGCCAGCATATTCACATCAACAACTTTATATGGTGACAATATTTGACTGTTGTGTTTACAGCTTGTGAACGCAGCTTTAAAAGAGAGAAATGCTGAAAAGTTCAAATAGCTTAAACTCATTTCAACAAGATTAGAAAGATCTCTCTTCAAATGAGCACAAATAAAAGGGTAAACTAGAGATGTGTTTATTATTGATCAGCTGTCAGATGAAAGAATACACCTCTTTATGTTTTACCTTTTCCTTCTGCTAACGGCTCGCAGAACTTTGAGAAGTTGAGAGCAGCCTGGTTGACAAGAGGAGAAAGAGAATCAATGATCCCAGACTGAAAGAAAATCAAAACTATGAAAAATGTTCTCTAATTTATGAGAGTGTGAGTGTGTGTGTGTGTGTGTGTGTGTGTGTGTGTGTGTGTGTGTGTGAGAGAGTATATGTGTGTGAGTGTATGAGTGTGTGTCTGTGAGTGTGTATGTGTGTATGTGTGTCTGTGTGTGAGTGTGTGTGTGTGTGTGTGTCTGTCTGTATGTATGTATGTGTGTGTGTATGTGTGTATGTGTGTGTGCCTGTGTGCGTGTGTGTGTGTATGTGTGTCTGTGAGTGTGTGTGTGTGTGTCTGTGAGTGTGAGTGTGTGTCTGTGAGTGTGTGTGTGTGTGTGTCTGTGTGTGTATGTGTGTGTGTGTGTGTGTGTGTGTGTGTGTGTGTGTGTGTGTGTGTGTGTGTGTGTGTGTGTGTGTGTGTGTGTGTGTGTGTGTGTGTGTGTGTGTGTGTGTGTGTGTGTGTCTGACCAGGTGTCGCAGCTCTCTGAGGTCTCGACACACCGAGTAAAAGACTCCCAGCAGGATGTTGATGTAAGCCGAGTAAAACTCATCCGAATATGAAGGATTTCTGTCCTGGGCCAAAATGTGCTGCAGCTCACCTTCAAATGCATAGAAGTAGCACTGTCAGTAGAACTACTCACACAAAACAATATTTTAAAAAGCAATGTTTCTTCTAACATCAAGTACAATTCCTGTCGTGCTAAATGTTTTAAAAATACATGCATATTCCTCTTCAGTCTCTGCCTTATGTGTAAGAACAAAGTCACAGGTACACATTTCACGCAGAATCCGCCAAGTGTGCCTCACAATTATGCAGTGTGACGGGAGTTTATTCATGACACTGAATGCTGATCGTGTCGTGTGCGTCCGTGTGTGTGTGTGTGTGTGTGAAGGATGCTACCTTTACTGTAGTCGGGGAAATGGAGCAGAAGGGGCTCGAAACAGCCGGTGTTTGGTCTGAACCTGTCCCAGACGATTTCACTGAGCAGGATGACGGTAACGTTGTCCTCCACCTGAAGAGGTCCCATAATGTGTGATATAACATTGGTTTGTACTACAAGGGGATTCAGTGAGTGTGTCTCCATGGCTACAGACATTGCTACCTCACTCAATTTATGTTTTATATATATAGATCTAATGTTGAGTGTATTTCAGCGTATTGTTTAGTTGAAGTCTTTTGACATTTGAATAGCTCTACTCATTTGTTTTACCGTGACAATATGATTTTGTGCCATGAGGAACAATGATGGACAGTTTGAAATGGGCAGCTAAAGGATCTCTATAAACAACCCACCAGATAAAAACTGCTGTCACAGGAATAAAACACAAATAGTCTTTGTCCTCTATATGTCCTCAATTTAAATGCTGTGTGGGATTGCCATCTTTCTTCCGGAACAACATTATTAAAGCGCTCCACGCACTCAGCTCCAGATCATTTATAACAAAGGAAGCTCCTCCAGTCCCCGTTCATCATCTGCAACAACATTAGAGCTGCTGGCTTGATAGATGACACAAAGAGCGTGCTGCACTTTCTCACCAGTTCCTGAAGACGCAGGAGAGCAGGGAGGAGATTGGCATCAGAGTCTCTCAGAAGCTCTGCTTTTTCCATTACCTGAAAAATATATACCAGAAAAAGTGTGATTATGTGAAAGGTAATGTACTCAGGAGGAGTCTTCCTTTGTTAGTTTGTTTTCTCATGGTTGAATACACTTATTGTAGGTCGCTTTGGATAAAAGCATAAGCAAAATGTAATGTAACTCATATCTAACAAACTAGAGGTTGTAAAAGGCTGTTTTATATGCTGTGAGCTTACTTTAAAATATAGTAAGCCAACATTCTAGACTAAAACTCCAGTGCTGGCTGGAAATCTGACCATTTTTCTCCAGGCATTATGCATCTGGAGCTTTGTTTAGCGTCTATTTGCATTTGTTATCACTCCTAATCATGTTGCCATACATTTGAGTGACACATCCCAAGAATAATACATTTGATATGCCATGGATTATAGTATTTTGGTGTGCCAAGTGAGGAGCGATTTTCTGGTTGGGGAATAAAGTGCACTCACAATGTATCGCGTCTGCTTGGCAGGAGACTGCGAGCTCTGCTGTCTGTAGATGCGTACAAAGTCAGACAGGGAGGGCCTGCGGGGGAGCAGCGAGGCAGCATCGCAGCCAAAGAAGGACAGCAGCACTTGTTCAAACAGCAAGGCAACAGAAACACATTCAACAAAGCTCACTGTGGCGTGGGGCAGCTGCAAAGAGGAGGAGGAAAAGACAATCAGTTTTGTATCTATGTGCAGTTAAATACACACCTTCACATTGTGTTGACTCTCCTGTGCTTTTGTTGCACACTGAACAATTAAAAGTCCTTAATGAAACTCAAACACTCTAATTGTTACTGCTCTCCACTGCTGTGATTCAGCGTTACATACTGTTAGCAACAGACAGTCAGAAAAGAAAACAATTCAATTGAATAACAGATAAATTGTAAAAACAATTATTCAGGCAAAATGCGAAAAGTTGCTACTTCCAAATACCAAAATGAACAGAATTGCTGTTTTTTTTTTTTACTTAAATGAAAAAACAAACGGAGCATTTTAAGTTTGTGTTAAACATTACCTCCAGTTCCTTCAGCAAAACATTCAGCACATGACTCTTCCCTGAAGATTGATGACCATAGATGAAGATTGAGGGATAGCTGTACTGGTGTGGCTGTGAAATATGACATGTCAATATGATTAATGACAATCCAACAAACACTTTATTCTAATACAAACAACATAGATATTCCTTTATCAACAAAAACGCCAATCCAAAATGGACAAATATAACTTGATTTAAAGTTACATGCAACAGTTACTCTTTTAGCTGAAATGAATACATTACATTACATGTCACTTGTATTGAATGTATCCAAAGCGACTTACATACACTCAATACTGTGGGCAATCCCCACAGGAACAATTTGGGGCGAAGTGTCTTGTCCAAGCACACAGCGGAATGTTTGACTGCAGCGGGATTCAAACCAGTGTCCCCGTGATCCAAAGATCAGCGCACTAACCACTGAGCCACAACCTCCCACTTACAAAATACACTTGTAAAGATTTTAAATGTAGAGTATACTTAATACAATGATTGCTGTATTCCATTGTATAGTTGTGTTTTACTTTATTAAATGTGTTTCTTATCTTTTGTAAGGTATGTTAGAGTCCAATTAAAATGATTTTTGTGCAGGTCAGCAGGTGCTATAAGTCTGAAATATTGTGTATCTTAGCTATACAATATAACATTGTTTTTTAATGTAATTGTATAATGTGTTTCTCTTGTAATATATGTGTTGTTTTTTTGTAAGGCAATTTGTGTTTGAATGTGCTATATAAATAAATGTGCCTTGAATGATGGTGGGGCAGAGATTTATAGAGTGAGTGTACGTTTTTGTGGCTGGCCGAAAATGCAGTTTGACAATGTGTATCCCATAACTAATGCTATATGCTAAAACAATAATGTAACCCTGCCACATGTTGCCATTTCTCATTAATTTAGGTGAAGTCGAAGCGAAATAATATAGGTCCACTTTTAGTGTATTAATGCGCGCCCCCGCAGCCAGGATCTCACTTCAGATCGACACGAGCCTAACATACCTGACCCATGAGCGACAGCAGCATCCCTGCCTGGACCTCTCTGCAGGGCAGCTTCTTTGAGACCGTCTGCAGCCTCTCCTCCTCATATCCTGGCTGTTGTAACAGCGCTGACATCATGCTCTCCGTACTACAAACCACAACACAGTGTTTAAGACTGTGAGGAGGTCAGTGACAAGCGGCTACAAACAACCAGGCTAACGTTAGCTTTCTAAACGTTCACTGACAGCACACGCACAACCTCACACAACTCGTATTCAGTCAAAAATGTTACCAGAACGAAACATATTTAAGAAAACAATGCACTGTAAACACGACAGGGCACTTTAATAATATATATACCAGAAAATAAACTGTGTAGCAAACGTAAAAAGCGATGAAAAGCTACATTAAAAGTTGAAAACGGAGGAGGGTGGACACTCACATGAGTTTCGCGCGCGCCTTCAGATTACGTCAAATGACGGTGTCCGGTCACCAGCCAATCGCAGATCACACAAAGATTCATGGGTAATGTAGTTTTTAGCTCTAAAACTGTTATTGTGATATAAAGAACTTCAGAAGATTGTTTTTTGAACACATAAATATACACATTGTGCATATGTTTTTATTGTTCTTTATGTATGGATGTGATGCACACATTATACTTACATGACAACTGTACAGCTTTATCTGCTGAGCAAAGTAGAAAGGAGAAAACATGAGAACATATAATAGTCTTTTGAATGATACATATAAACAGCATACAAAGGCAACATCTGGGAGCAGATCAGCTTTTATGGTTTTGTTATGATATCATTGGAAGCAAGCATAATTAAAGGTTCATTTACGCCGTTCATTTGCAGTCTAATGTTGTTTAATAGTTGCATTTGTGTACGGTAATTTCGAGGAGCATGCTCCCATACCGCTCTCATATAATTAGGGTAATGTGAAGCAGCTGTTAGAGGGGGATTATGTGAGCATTACATTTGGGTGCATTAACCACACTGTTGTAGTTTGTTATTATTATGATTGTGTGTGTTGAGATTTTGCGCGTGCTACTTGAATAATACGTCAGACGTGGATTAAGAGATGTGGGCTGGCCCTGTGCTATCCAAGGCTTTCCTCCTCCTCTGATTCACCTCAGCTGCAGCTGTTGGTCTGTCGGAGCTCAGACGGAGCATTTCAGCAGAGTGGATCCCAGACATGAGCCTGTGTGCCGGGGGAACAGTCTATGGCTTTACACACGTTTCAGGTAACGACATCTTTGACAAATCATCAGGACAAATGTCGGATGAATCCACTGGCTTCTGAATGGATTCCTGAAGCGTGTTTTTTCGGAAAGCGCGTTTCGTTTTTTGCAAGAGTGATGAATGAAAACCAGGAGGAAAACACCAGAAAACAAAACCCGACCTCGCCATGGATGTGAGGGTGCAGTGATTCTATGGAAACAGCTGTGACTGTATAAAGTCAGAATAAAAACACTAAACAGCGACAAGTTCTGCAGAACACAGCATTTTTGCCTTTTACGGATCAGATGCTCAGATGGGAGTTCGCTGAATACATTGGTCCTGAGCACCGAGCAGACCCCTGCACTTAGACCGGAGGATGATCCCCGGGGTCCCCAGTACGATCACCACCATGATCCCCGCCTCCGAGGCTGCCAAAATATACCAGACCAACTACGTCCGGAACTCCCGCGCCATCGGCACCCTCTGGGCCATCTTCACCATCCTCTTCGCCATCGTCAACGTGGTGTGCTTCATCCAGCCGTACTGGATCGGAGACGGCATGGACACCCCGCAGGCGGGATACTTCGGGCTGTTCCACTACTGCATCGGCAACGGGCTGTCCCGGGACCTGACCTGTAAGGGCAGCTTCACCGAGTTCAGCAGCATCCCCTCCGGTGCGTTCAAGGCCGCCTCCTTCTTCATCGCCATGTCCATGGTGCTGGTGCTCTCCTGCATCGGCTGCTTCTCGCTCTTCTTCTTCTGCAGCACCGGCACCGTGTACAAGATCTGCGGCTGGATGCAGCTGGCTGCAGGTAAGAGACTGGCTACAGGTTGGAGTTCTCAAAACACTTCAGTGTTCTCATATGAGATTCATAGTTCAAAATATTATGAGATGAGGTCTCTCCCTTATCTCCCCTTATCACAAAGTTTAGAATACATATTCACACATTCTGCAGCCAGAAATCTATGTTCTCCTGCTTTTTAGGTTTGAAGATCCGAGTAGAAATGACTCAGAGCTTCAATAAAAAGCCATTGAAATACAATTACAGGTTTTATCTTTTATGACATTTTATTATTTATCAGGTCTATAACTTTATTGAGTATTTGACTAGTTAATCAACAAAGTAAACACCCTTTTTTGATAAATGATACAAAAATCAAAGAAAAGGTGGTTTCAGTCTCTTGTACTATAGAGATATACAGGTTTTATATAATGGTAAACTGCATATCTTTGGGTTGTGGATTGTCAAGGCATAACCTTGGATTTCAAGAGGATTTTTTTCAATATTTTCTGACACATTATAGACCGAACAATGGAGCAATTTATCTAGAAAAGAATCAGAAAATGTACAATGAAAATAAGTAGAAGTTGCAACCCTACAGGCTGACATGCACGAAGTCTGCACCTAAAAATCTAGATGTTCTCCAGACTCCTCATTTGAACTTTGCTGAGATGAGAACAAGAAATGTAATGGATCATAATATGAACTGGAATTGTCCACAATTACAGGTTTTACTCAAATCTCAGTTAAGATTGCAAAAATTGAGGAGGATAAAAATGCAGATTGCTTTCACTTAAGATGTTTCGCCTGCTTTTTTTGTGTTGACGTCTCCAATGGTTTTGGCCACAGAGCCCTGTTATAGTAAAAGTAGTATTTGGTCCATTTTACACTAGAGCATATCTCGAGTCTTGGTCAAATATCATGTAACGATCTGAAGTGTAGGTGTAGTGGCCTTGAGGAACGTAAAACCTTGGATTGAAACTGTGAAAAACACTCTTGGGTCCTGATGCCATTAAATAATAGTAAAAAAGTATACAAGCGTTTCTAAATTGCATTTTTTGTTGGGGAGGCTTCTCTGATACCTGAATGTCAGAAATGTATCTTGAAGTAAAATACATTATGTATAATACTTTCTTATAGGCATCATACTGTTTCAAAGCAAATCCAGAATGTACAGTAGTCATATATCTGTAAACTTCAGTAAACTCGACTCTGTAAGACTTATTAAACTGTCAACTAGAAATAGTTAAGTCAAAGCAAACAGCTTTAAATGGAAAAATACAAATGATTCCTTTTCTCTAAATGAGAACAGAAAATGTATCTTACATCTTTAAACCCACCATGCACATTAGATACAAAAGAAAAACACATGTAAAAGGGAAATGAGAAAATACAATCAAAGGAAAAGCAACTGTTTTAATGTTTTTTGTATTCCAAGCATCCTCTTTGAAGCAGATGGAGAAGATCTTGATTTCCTTCCAAAATGATATTTTCAAATAACTGGTGCAGCTCAGTTGAATATTTCAGCCTACTATTTCAGTACGCAAGGGCTAACTAAAGCAAGCATTTGTGTTGATGTTTATGAGCCTCAATTTTAAATGTGCTTTGTTGCGACTGTTCCATCATCTGCTTACATACACGCATTTGAATCAGCGGGAGCTCAGAGAATATCATGTGATTTAAAAAAAAACTTTTGAGCATCATTTAAGGCTTACATTTTATTTTTTATTTATCCTAACATCACAATTTGAATATTTATTGATTCCTGATGGTAAAGCCCAGATTGTTCTCGGAGGAGAATTAAACGTCACAACCAATAAATATCACATTCATAGCTTCTTTCATGCAGAATAAAACGGCGGCTAAATATCCATTCGGATTTAGGGTGGACATGTGTCCCCGAAGTCTCTTGATTACCAGTTTTAGCTAAATAGTAACCAGAGACTAATGTAATTCCACGTTGCACAAAGCATTAGTCATAGAAATTAGGAGAGCCATTGGCCAGATGCGAGGCTATTTTAAAGCAGAAAAAAGCTTTTTCACTAAAGTATCTCGAAGTATCTCAGCTTTAAATTGGATTATCTTGGAGCAAAAGCACTATGAGCTCTTTCAGAGTCCTAATGAGTTCTACATCCTGCTAGTTTGAGGGTTTTATTTCACAGATCAAAGTTGCTTCTTATTCCTTAGTCACATGTTTGCTTTCTCCAGTTTTCCCACCATCAGAGAAGCAGATGTGACGGTTTGCACCACATTGATAAAGAAATAAATCAGATGTTCAGCTCTGGTGGTTTTTGTTAAAGTCGTAAGGAGTGGTGGAGAGTAATTAAGGAGGTTTATTGAAGTAGACAGTACATAAGTAATACATTTCAGAGCAAAACAATGTACATCTTACCCCACTACACTTGGCTAACTGCAGCTGTAGTTACTGGTTACATTTCAGATCATATTTACATATGAAATTGGAAACAAAAAGGTTTATATTTATTTATACACTGTTTGCTGATTATATTCCTAATTAATCGATAAATCATTAGGTCCATCAAATGCCAGAAAGTGATAAGAATGTCCATGACACTCCATTACCAAGATGTTGTATTCAAATTGGTATATTGTGTACTTACCAACAGTCTAAAACACAACATTTTGGGTCATTATCAGTATTACAAATATATCCATTAATAAAAAGATGTTACCCAGAGGGTAAAAAAAACAATTGTATAATAATAAAGAAAAAAAATCCAGCAAAACAATTAAGGTTACTTATTTACAAAGTACAATTTGTAGTATATGTTATACTTTTACTCAAGTAAAAATAACCTTAATTGATCTTCAATATACTTTTGTGCACTCGCAGCCCAATTCAATGTGACCAATATCTCTTATTCTCATCACGGCTGCTGTTAAAGTGGCCATTTAACGGTTTTCTAGGCAACAGAAATAGCTGATACCGAGGTACTCTCTCTAAGCTGTCTGAAATCCAAACGTGATTGCAAAAAAAAATGATAAGTCATCCCTGCGTGATGTCTTTTAGGGTGTATGAAGCTGCTGTGATGGCAGCAAACAGAGCTCAGAGGCAGCCCTCCTCTCCCACAGAGGGACGTCCTGAATGTTTGAAGAGCTCTGCCTTGGTGGATCAGGGCACTTTTTTGAACTATAGCCAAGAATTATGATGATTGTTGTAATGAGGTAACCATGTCATCATTTATTTGCGATTTTTAAACAACATCTGTGGTTATATAGTTTGCACAAATGTTTTGCATAACTTTGCACAGTAGCCGTCATTCTTCCGACAGATCTGCCTTAGGTCCCAGAGAGACAACTTTAATATATTATTGTAAAAAAGCAGTCTGGAGGATGTCAAATAGATTTTTTACAACCTTATAACCTACAAGGTTATAAATGGCTTATTATTTATACAGAGAGCCATAAATAGGTGATGTATTTGCCATTGATAGATCCATTAGAAGCACTTAAAACGCCTTTTTAAAGCATATCAGAAAGAAAACAGGACGATGCTCAGTAACCTGACGGCCTCCAGAGCTAATGACCATCTGGATCCCACAAATTCACAGGAATGATTTTCTCCATGGCAGTAACAGCTGCAAATGTTCTGTATGTGTAAATCAGTAGAAGACCATTGAATCAGACGTTGGTCAGCTTCCTGTGCCTTTAGTGTAAGTGCTCTCGCTTTCGGAGCCAAAACAACATTAGTTGGAGTTAGTTTATTGATTTAAATGTTGATTTCCAGAATATCCAGAGGATCCAGCAGGGGCAGCTGCTGTGAGAGTGACAGAGAACATAAAGGCTCTGCTTGCCTTATGTTTGATGCATGATAACAGTTTGATAAAAGCGCCTGACTGACTGATGTCGTTATATCAATGCTCGGTGTGCCGTGCAGTATTCAATTGTACACCTCATCAGAAAGATGTCTAGTGGAACGGGGACGTGCTGCTTATCACATCACATTGTGTGCTTGAAAAATACACCAAGACGCTATCACACTGTCTGCTGAGGAGAGAGATAGATAATGAAAACTGATCCAGGGAATGTTTGAAAACTGAAATCTTCATTTTGTAAAACTTGTTTTCTGTTCATGTTGTAATCCAATAAGAAGTCAAGTGTACACCTTTTTATACTCCTTATCTTATCTGAGGTCAGAAATACAAATATACTATAGATTGTATGTTATATTTCTTCATGACAAGATCTACGTAATACATTTGTATTAATTCATTTATTTGTTTAGAGTAAACAAACACATTGTAGTAAAAGCTCTCTGTTTACAAGTCTGCCATCATACCAACTCAGTCATAAAGGCATAATGTTACATTATTATCATCAGTTATTTCTTGCATTTGATAAGTGAAACATCTTATAGTTGCATGTCCCTATATCGTGTAGTATTTAACCAAACGCAAACTTAATTTGTTGTTCCAAATTTTAACATCCAGTCAAAATAAATGGCTGTACTCACTTATCGCACACTATAATACAAATGCTGTACCTGCCACTATAACAATAAACATTACAAAAAAAATGAAGGAAAGAGGTTGCTGGCAATAATTGGCTGTGGGTCAAAGCCTATTTAAAAAAAGCCACATTAATGGGAGCTCTGTGTAAACATTTGCACTGTAGATGAGATTTAAGGCAGGGAGCTAATGACATCAGCCCCATCTTTATCCACTCACATAAAATGAAGCACCGTAAAAGTCTGAGAGGCTTTACAGTGATGTCACATGATCACACATGAGACTAAGACGCAGACATAACAGAGACACATATGCACACACAGACAAAACAAACTAGTTTAAGCTCAGATAGGTCACATTTGATGGATGTTGATTTGTACACGCTTCAGAAGCATTAACAAAAATAGAAATGTTGACCCATGCAGAGTAAATGATCCAAACAAGACAGCCAGCCAAGTCAGCAGACACTCACAGATCTCACCCTACAGACTTGTTTCTAATACTGAGGATTAAGAAAGTGGATCACCTCCCTTAGCTGACGAGGATTTTAAAGAGACAGTA